GTGTCATCGTCGCGTGTGTCATCGCCCGCGAGCACTCAATCATTTATGACTATGGGATTGGCGTACGTACAGTGGCCGATGGCGGGGCGGCAGCATCTCGTCGGGAGCGGAGCTTGTGGTTGCTAGGAGACCGCTCGGCTCAATATGCACACTATGTGCACGGCACGATCGTGCGAGGGGCTGTTTTGCCGCTAAGGTATCAGGTTGCGTGCAAGTTTTTTTGTGCTGGCGGTGAAACTGTAGCCCGCCCCAATCCTCCTGGCCTCAGGACCCGCGCTCTGCGCAAACGCAGAGATATCATTTTCAGCCCCCCACTGCTAAACCGGCGAGCGATATCTGTCGGCCGTGCACCTGAAGGTTTCGGCCCCCGTGGTGAGCTATTATTAGCCGAGCCCTCTTTTCCTGTCCATCCGTTTCCAGCGCCCGCTGTGGCCGGAAGTCGTTGCGTTTTTTTGTCTCAAAATCTCAAGGTCGGAGCCGGGATAGAGCCGAACGGAGCAGGGACTCCATCGTGCCTTCGTTTTTTCATGTTTATCTTGTGCGACATTTTTAGGGGTGCGACAACGCCATCGGTTCACGGATTTGACGTCCATCGATTACGGCTCGCAATGCACGCGTTGACTCGCTCGTCTGAGGGATGGGCGATTTGCGATTTGTGGATGCCGCGCGCAAATGATGCGACGGTGTTGCGTTGGTGCTCGCGTGAAGTCGGGCAAATTTACTCAGAAAATGAGAAACAATGCAAACAAGGCTGTGAACATTAAACAAAGAGCAACAGGCTGATGACATGATTGGCAGGCCTGAATAGCGACGAGAGCCTGTTTTGCCGGCGGTTCGTAGACGTCCAATTGTTTTTAACGAGCAGATGCACTCGTGTGATGATGATTCTGCCCGCCCCACCGCCAGCTGGTGGCCACTCCCGCCCGCCTGCCGTTCCTCGCAAAAAAAAAAACACGGCGCTAAAACGATTCCCCGAACGGGCGAGAAATTTGGCGCCCGCGCAACGACCACTCGGCAAAATAATTAAGAGCTGGAGCCACAACACGGCCGCACTTGGCACGCACGGATGGCAGAGCTCTTGGAGAGTGTTGGCTCCCGCTCGCGACAAACTCCGCGATCGTTGTTCGCGGGGCAGCGACTGTCGCCGCGTGTTCCCGTTAATCGGGACCCACGAACTGCTTCTGCCTGCTTTTTTTGCTGCGTCCAAAATTGGGTTGCGTTTTTTTGTTGTTGCACTCTACCATCGTTCTGGCTGTGACCAAATCAGTGGGAATGCGCCCGATAATCCGCCCGATTTTTTTTTCCCCCCTTTTTCCCTTTTCTCTTCTCCCACGAGCCAAGCGAGGTTGAGCTTGCAACTTGGTCGGATCTACAGATGCCGGCCTGCAAATGAGCACGTGATTTAGCATTGGCAAGGCTCCGGGTGCGAGAGGCGAGGATATGGTGATGCAGGAGAGTTGGAGTTGTTATTTGCAAGCAACGTGTAGAGGTGTGTGTGTGTGGGGAGTGGTGACATGGTGGTTGGCGCACCGTAATACAAACCCGGCAAACAGAGTTCAATTCCTGGCAATGGCTCGCATTGACGGCAAGTGATATATGAACTGGTTCTGAACCCCCTCCCACTTACCCCCACCCCCAATCCCTTCTTAAAATCCGCACTGACCAGAGCGTGAAGTGTGTTCAAGCGACATCCATGACCGACATGGTGAGAGGGGGGGGGGGGGGCATTCATCCAGCAGTGGCTTGACAAACGGCTGTGAATGATTATCTGTTGTCGATGCAGGTCGCTGTCTGCAAGGTGGTCTGGAGGACTGCTCCTCGACCACGCCAACAATTTCAGTGGTTAACACGTGGCGCCCTTTGTGGCACAAATCTGCCCCCCAAAGTGCCATCACATCATGAAACAGTTTAAAACGATAATAAAAATATCACGACGTTTCGATCGCAACACAAACAATCATCTTCGACACAAGCAATCGTCTTAGATTGCTTGCGTTGCGATCCATAGAATATGTATTCCGGCATTCACGAAAGCTTTAAGTCGAGTTTAAAACGAAATAATGAAGTTGTGGCTGAGGTTATTTTCACTGGTAGTTTGCTTAATCTCCCCCCCCCCCCCCCCACGGCGCTGTTTACTTGATCAACCGTTTTCGATATCTCCCCTCCGCACGTGCCACGAGCCCCGTTGGAAAATCGTACAGCGGATAGGTGCACGGTGGCGATGGAGCTGCCGAATCCCAATGAGGTCCTCTTGCTACTCGCTGTTATTTCTGTTGTTATGCAAGCGTGCGCAAATGTCACTCATTGTTTCGAGTGGCGGTCACGTGGAGGAGGAAGATTGCCGGGGTGTAAACAATGGCCCCCGTGTGTGCGACGTTCTCTTCCCCTGCGAGAGAGCCACGTCTCAGATCATTTTCCCGGCCTAGGTAACATGACCTCGGCTATTGGCTGATAACCCTGGCCCAAGGCCCAGGCCGAGATCATACATATATATATAAAATGTACATACAAAACATCTACACTTTTTTTCTGTAGTTTTTTTTCTTACCAGCAACTGTAGAATGTCAACAAAGGTCATCAAAAGAGCATCGCCGCCTTCTTCGTGAACACCGCTGCCTTATTAGAGCGTGTCAACAAAGGTGTTGTCTCATTATACGGCTCTCATTTAACAACCGGTAGAGCGGTGGCACAGCGGTTAGCGTGCTCGGCCATGAACCCGGCGATCCGAATTTGACTCCCGGCCACGGTTAACACCGGTCACGAGCAATATTGGAACTGGTAATTAAAACGCCGCCGTAATTGCCGCACGCCGTTGGTGATCGCTCGGGCTTTTCGTTTGACCAAAGTTGTGCGCGCTGCCAGTGTAGCAGCCGAGGTTGAGTTGATTCGTTAAACGGACGGTCCCGTTTTTTTAGCGATCGGCCCGGCCATTTTACGAGGGCGATTGGTGGTGCTGCGTGACCACAGCGGCAAAAAAAAAAAAGACGGAGACATCGATATTGCAGAGAACGAGTGCAGGGTCCTCAAGGAATATTTGCACGGCCAAAAAATGAGGTATTTAACGGTCGTAAACGAAACGCACGCAAATTATGAACAAAAAAACGCGTGCGAATATTACATGACGAGGCGGCAGAAAAACGTAGGTACACGTGCGAGTTTGCTCAATATTTTTAAGTTTTGACAGTGACATAAGCAATCGCGAATCGAGAAAGACAGTGCAAACTGCCGTCCTAAGTAAGAGTAGCTCTTTGTAATAACAGACGGGACCTTTTTCTTGACACCCTGCATCTGGCGAACCCTGAGGGGGGGGGGGGGGGGGGGGGAGAGTTTGTCGAGGTTTGGTGGTAAGTACGCACGTGTCACGCTGTCAATAATGGTGGCGAGGGGGTTTCGGCGGCAATTGCAGAAAGTGGCCGGAGGGGATGGCAAGGAACCCGAGAGTGGTGCAGGTGCCACGCCTGCCGTGTACTATTCGGAGCGTATGTCATTGTCTGGTTTTAGCGATGGGCAGTGTTAATTACAAGTACGATTTTAAGTGTGTTCGAAGTGCGTTTTATTTTGTCGATTTACTCTGACTTTGATGTGGGGACCAGTGGTCTCCCAATCAACCCTCAAGACGTTTTTCGAGGACCGCCGGGCGGCAAAAAGTTTGTGCAGATGCTAAATGAATAGTTCATACAAGAATTCTCCGCGAGCCACTTTGCCCCAAGGTACTGCGGGGCCCACCGATGAGTGGCCCGCGGTTGCGAACCACCGGTGTAGACACAATGCCTGGTTGCCACTGTTGTTGTGTATTACTGAAATCTGAAATGTAAAAAAAAAAAAAGAAAAGTGATTGAATATTATGAAAGTACATTGCATAGCTTTGTTAAAAAACCTTTAAAATGTTGCCTTAAATTTGATGTGCGCGTGTAATGCAAAAGCGTAACTGTGCGCGTCATCTCGACTTTGTGGTGAAACCGCTGCTGCAACACTCATCGCTTTTCTGCCTGCGTGCGCGTGCTTGCAGGTGCGTGTGTGTATGCGTGTGGTGTACCGTGTGCCGTTCGGCAGTGCTTGATGCTGGCCTTCCTTCCGCAGGCCTTGCCGCCACCATAATTCTGCTGGCTACCCTGGTAACCACAATCACAGGGTTGTCCACCTCCGCCATTACGACCAACGGATTTGTGCGAGGAGGTAACGAGCCGGCGTTGGCCGCTGTGTTTCCTGTCGTCCACCCCCCCCCCCCCCCTTCCAACCCCGTCGGTGTGCGAGATCGTTTTGGGCGATCCTCTCTGATTCCGTCTCGCCCGCTTGTCTTGTCTCTTCGTCTCGTTTTGTCCCTTCCGTTGTTGCCTAGTGGATCCCTCCACTTTCCGCCGTGCCGAATCAGAGACGCCGGTGCCGTCGTGTGCGTGTGTGTGCGTGCATGCGTGCACGTGTGTGAGCGTGCTGGTTTCCTCGAAAGACGCCGCGGTGCCGGTTTGGCCCCCGGAATCGCATCGGTGAAGCCAGGTGGGTAAAACCGTCCCTCTCCCTCCGCTGTCTTGCTCCGCGAGTAGCGACGACGAAGACCACGGCTGCCGTTCAGGACTGGCGGCGATCGTAAACCGCGTGGCTTGGCTCTCCCTCTCGCTCTCTCTCTCGTCGCGTCACCACGTCGGCAGGTGTTCTCGCCGGTGGCGATGGCGAGACGTGGCGTCCGCATCGCCCGGCACGCTCTTACAGGGGAGCACCGCGTGACCCGTTAACCGTGCAGCGTAGGCGTCCGCCCGCCCGCCCGCTCGCTTACGCAGAGGACCAGCGCGGTAAGGGTTCCGGGAGAAGGCCGAGGCCTCGCTGTTCCAGGTCCGGAGAGGCAAGCGGCGAAGTAAGCACCATTTGCAGGAAGGAGCGTCGGCGGCTGTGGTTGGCGCGGGCGATGGCACCACCACCAGCCGCTCTGCGTGAGGTAGGTGAGGTGGGTGAGGTAGGTGAGCTAGGCGAGGCCCCGTAAAGCAATGAGAGGGGCGCTGTTTCAGGTCTCACCATGGTCATCATCGTGATGAGCACGGTGGTGACGACCCTGACGTCCATCTCCATGTCGGCCATCTGCACCAACGGGAACATACGAGGAGGTAAGCGTGACCGCTCGCTCGGGCCACGGCTACACACGCCCGGGGCGGGCCCCGCCACGGTCCCGTGGCCCTACCGCGCGCTCCGCCACACCAGCGCTACTCCGGTAAACGAGGTCGGTTCTTCCCCCGGCACCCATCGTGATGCTTTCTCCCGCCGACAGTCGGCCGTGCTCTGCCGCGCGCCATAACTTTACGACACGAAGCCACTCGGTGTCTCAAACGGATTGTTCGGAACGCGCCGTCGGTTTCGACGGCCCGTTGTTGGCGGCCGGCGGGTGCTGGGCCGCACGAGGGAAAACATTCAAATTGGGAAAGAAAGGAATTAATAATAATAATACTTACTGAGTCATTAAAAATATTGTAAACTACATACACCTCCCTCGCTCGCTCCCTCCCTTTCTCCCTCCCTTTGGACCGCCCTAAATGATCAGACTTGGTCGCTTGGTCTTTCCAAATAGTTTGCACGCCAAATTGGAAATTTCATCAGCGGCATATCCTTAATTTTTGTGAGTGAATTTGATTCCAAGGCTCCTTTGTATTCCTCGTGACTAACGGGGCCGTGCGCCGCGACGCCCGTTCACCAGACTCCCCTGGCCGAGGCCGCACTGCACGGTCGGCTGTCGGCAGCGAAAGTGTTCCGCCCAATGAGATCGCCTGCTTGAGATTCTGCGGGTGTCGTGTGCACATTTTCATTTGTCGTTTTCAGTGTTTTCTTCTCTGTGCTTCTCTGTGTCGTGAGTAGGTTTTACATGTTTTGGGGGGGGGGGAGGGGGCTTGGGTGGGGAGGATGGGTGGGGGGGGTGTCTGGGTTGGCTGGGTGGCAAATTCCTAGCAATCAGATGCAGGTGGTGGGGTGGTTGGAGGAGGTACAAACAACGAACAGAAAAGAAGATTGGTTTGGAGTGGGAACTGTGGTTTCGGTGGAGCCCCTCCTGGGCTCCTTCCGTGTTTTGAGCGAATCGGCCACCGCTGCGGCGGCTCAGCCGGCGAGCGTCTCGGCTGTCTCCGCCGGACAGAGTTGACGGCATGGGGGTTGGGTTTGCTCGGCGTGTCTCGCGCTGCGACCACATCTCCGGCGTCGCTCGTTCCCTGCACCAAAAAAGCGTCCGCGCAGCGGGTTGGGATTCGCGCAGTGATGACTCTGCGGGCGTGACGTCGAGGCGTCGTGCGGAGACTGGGCACGTTTATCTGTAGAGAGGGTGAGAGAGCGAGAACGAGGCGGTCTGTCGTAGGCTCAATCGGCAATAAATAAATAAACAAGCAGGCAGGCAGGGAGTCCACAGCACAGAGGGCTGTGGGAAGGGAATTTCAGACTGGGGGCAGCTGAAGAGAAGAAGCGACCTCCGACCTGAGAGAAGAGAGAAGGTTGACGACTGGGGGACTTCGTCAGAAGGCCTTGGTTACTGGAGAGGAGAGTGCCTGGGGGAGAGTAGAGAGAGATGAGGGGAGCCGAGGTAGGAGAGTGCATGGAGAGATGTTGAACTTCTTTTGCACCTTACGTAGCCAACCGTGCCAATCGGAGGTACAGGGGAAGCACAGCAAACCAAACACAAGCAGCAGTTTTAAAGAAATTAGTTTTCAATGTAGATGTACAAGTAGAGTAGATAGGAATGAAAGTGGACAGGCGAGTACATTGGGTGGAGTAGAGCTAAGATTGCAGAGGGTAGGTGAGTGTGCGTGGAGGGGAGTAGAGCAAACGATGAGGGTGGAGAGGGTGGGGAGTTTAGCGAGATAAGGGGGGGGGACGGGGGGGGGGGAGAGGTGTCACTCTTGACGCACTCCGTTTCCTGTGGGAAATCTGCAGGGGTGCATCGTTCACGGGAGTAGTGACTCGTTCAGAGCCCCCCCATCATCGCTTTATTGCTCGCTGGGAAGAAGCGGTCCCAGTAAAAGTATGAAAATCATTAACTCTCGCCCACCTTTGCCCTCTAAAACAACACTGAAGAGATAATATTTAATCCATTTGGTCAGGGTTCACGCCGGATGCTCGCGACGGGCAGAACACACGGAAGCGTGCGGCTCGCGCGGCTCATGACGTGCCCCAGCGTCGTCCTTCAATTGACGGCCGCGTGCTTGGCCTCGCAGCTCGGTTTGGCTCGAGTTCTCTCATTTCTTGCACAAATCGGCAGGTGGCTAACTCTCCAAATAGCGCCGGTTCTTTTTTATTTATATTTTTTTACACAGCGCTATTCGCATGTGTTCGCAGCTTTATACGGACGAAAAACCCAAACCTGACCAAACCATGAATGAAGAAAACTGAATTAAACGCTAAACAAATAAAAGCACCTACATGGATGGGTAGGCAGGAGAAAATAAATGTGTTAAGGAGGGGCGTGAAATTTAACTGCAAGTTGAATTAAATTTCAGTTCATAGAATCAACGACTCGTTCAACTCCTGACGCGTACATTTATTTAACTAGATAAGAATATCAATAGGGATTTACAGAGACCCTTTTTACAATTGGATGAGAGAAAAATTGAGACCAGACATCTCGCTTTCAAGGGGAGATCTGGGTAGGAATAAGTACAGCGGTAAACAAGTACGCAAAAAATGAAAATTGGTTTTGAAGTAATTCTTGTAAAAATTCCAGACTTTTAAATGTATTATTATATTCACTGCCAGAGTTGAGTTGTTCGTGTCGTTTTGGATTAAGGCAGAACAATAACACTAATACATGAAATGAACGCCTGACTTGGCCAACAATAATTAAAGGGGCCTTAGCCCACGGTCACCGCTGCCAGCTTGGCTCGTGACTTATGGTCAACAATGCGTGCTTTTTGCTCGTCGCTGCATTTTTGCTTTTGGACCCAAAATATCGCAGCAACACTCTAATGAAGCTAATACGAGAGTGGCTCTCCGGGGGATTTGGCGCACAGCCGCGCCAAACCTCAGCCGCGCCAAACCTCAGCCTGGCCATGGACAAATAAGTTCTGTTTTTCTGTTGTTTGCTCGCGAAACGCCAGTTTCTCCAGAAGATGTCCACGGCCCGTGGCGATGGGGGGGGGAGTTACCCGAGTGTGAATAAGTAAATAAATAAATAAATCTCTTGGCCTAGACCAGGGGTCGGCAACCTACGGCTCCGGAGCCACATGCGGCTCTTTACGGGCTGCTTCTTGACGATATGTACGTATGTACAGTATGTACTCAGATGCATTGCGGCTCTTGAAATACTGAATTTTGTATCGAATTGGAAAGAAATGGCTCTTCTTGTTATTTTGGTTGCCGACCCCTGGCCTAGACGTAGACTACGGCTGGTCAAGATGAGCGATGTAAACTTTGCCGATGGCTTTAATAGAAATGTGCGTTCAGAGTATTTGGCTGCTTATACATTTCCACATGAGAAGCCACTTCGATGAGCTGTCGTTTGTGGCTAGGTCACTTTTTAAAGAGCGCTATATAGCTCAGTGGGCCTTACCTGGTAAAATATAAAATAGTTTCGTTTTTAGTTTAGTAATAGTTTAGGCAGTGGCAGTGGTAGGCATGAGCAAACAAAGCCAAAGGGTAGGATCCCATGCAGCTGAAGGGGCCCTGGAATCATGGTTTTAGCTGTATCATTCCACAGTGTTTGGTGGAAATTGATTATACTCCAAGCAAGGGACATGCGCAAAAAGGCAGAAGTCCACATTTACGGCCATTGCCGAAACATCCCCCATCCATAGTCACCAGCGCTGCGGTTTGTTGAGACCTCATCGCTGCGCAACACAGGGAGTCCATTTTAATTTTTTTGGCAGCACGAGCCGTTGCAAGATGACTCGACCGACCTTTGCCCTTGTGGCGGAGCTGTGCAAAAAAAATAATTGTCGGCTGAAAGAAAGTTTTTCAACTGCATGGTTCGGTTGCCGTGGAAACAAACGAGCGATCGGGCGATGGGCCCGTTAAATTTGGCCTGTGCACGTGGTCTGTGCCGTGACCTGCCCTGAGCTGCCCCCGCCGAGGTCGCGCGCAACGCGATTAGCGTGCGGACAGACGTCGAGATAATTGGACAACGGATCGACGGCACGCTCTCTCTCCCTCCTTTGCACGTGCATAATTGATGTGCTTCCCGCGCATTTGTGCGTGCGGGTGCTGACAGCCAGTGCCGGGCACGTGTGTCCACGGGCGTGGGGTCACATGGGTTCACGTGGGTCATGTCGCGGAGGGGGATGAGATGCCACGCACGACCTCCGACCTGCGGGGGCGTGGGCGGAGGTTTTTCTTAGCGCCACAGCCACCCTCTCGAGACGCGTTCTCGGGTTGCGCCGCGTGTTGTTCGCCGTGATGTCCCAAGTTTCTCTCCACGTGCCCGGGAGCTTCTTGAGGAATATTTCGCTTTTTGTTGGGCATCGTACCGAACAACAACAACAACAACAACACGCGGTGCAACGTGAAAGGACGTCTGAGTGCTGTGTAAACACAACCGCGGAAAGCCTGTGTGTTTGCACGGCCTTGGCACGCCCAGGTTAGCGGAGACCTCATGCCGATATTCACGGACCAGGTACTTCCCGCACAGGTACATCAGGAATGACGTAGAGTTGAGAAATAGATATATTCCAGAAGGTGTGTCCTCCTCCTCCCCAGAACTAAAACTTAGGATTTATTGTCTGATGACCATCGGAAAGATGTCTGGCTGGCATGGAAGAGCAGGCCAACATACGCTCCAGAGCAGCTCTCTGGATCGCCTTCTACGAGACGCTCTTCTGCCAGCAGTGGCAATGAGCAAGCGCTTGAAGGGCTGCTCCTCTGCATTATTCAATAATTCGAGGCATGCCGAATGCCTTCACATCAACACTGCCTGACCCCTGAGCTGACGCCCATGTGACTCCCACGTGACCCCTCCTGCGATGACCTCTGACCCCTGCTGTGCTGACCCCGTTGTGCGACACCGACGTTACCCCTGTCGTGCTGACCCCACGTGTAACCCCCACTTGACTCCTGCCATGACCCCCACTCAACCCCTCCTGTCGTGACCCCCACGTAAACCCCCTCCGCTGATCCCCTATCGTTAACCCCATGTAAACCCCTGCTGTGCTGACCTCCACGTGATCCATCCTGTGATGACCTCTGTTTGACCCTTGTTGTGCTGATTCCTTGCGTGACCCCCACGTGACCCCTGCCATGGCGACCCCCCCCTCCCGTGCGTGATGTGACACCTACGTGCAGGTGGTGCGTACTACCTGATCTCGCGGAGCCTGGGGCCCGAGTTTGGTGGCTCCATCGGCCTCATCTTCGCATTTGCCAATGCGGTCGCCGTGGCGATGTACGTGGTGGGCTTTGCCGAGACGCTGCGAGACATCCTCAAGGTGAGTTCCCCCACCTCCTCCTCCCCGTCGCCACCGCCATATTCCCAAATCGCATTCAGTTTTAGAAAAAGAAGGAAGTGAAATGGCGCGCACCCTCGGATTCCGTTACCGCTCGCCAGCTCGCGGTTGTCCCCAGAGACATAAGAGTGGCGCCGCGCGTGATGAGGTGACGTCCCCACGGCACCGGAGGTTCGGCCGGCGAGGGTCTCCTCTTCTCGCCGGGTTTTTGTTTTCACTCGGTAGTTTTGTAAATGGAGCCGCCTTTTGATTTAATTTTTCTCACTTTTTTTATCTCGAGTATTTGGCTGCTATAAATTTCCACGTGATAAGCCACTTTGTCAGGTTATCGTTTGTGGTCAGGTTGCTTGTGAAAAAAGAGCTCGTTAGTTGAGTAGTTTTAACGGCTAAACAATTATACTGGAATGTAATTTGTGTTGGATCATCTCCGGACGGGCGCACGGACAGAGTCTTTGCATTTCGGCTTTCGGCGTTGGCAAGGAAGCGCAATAGAAATCCTTAAAAAACACACCCAGAGGCGCCGAGGCCTCGAATGAGGAGTCTCGGCAGATGGCCTCGCATTGGAGCGCTGGCCGTGGTGCAAATTGAGAATATCTCTTCAATCAAACGATCGTAAATATCCCTGTAATCGAATTGCTGTGGCAAGTGTGTGGAGGGTAGATGAGCATGCGGTCACGCCTTCACTGGGAAATCCATCCTTTGCTCGCAGCTGTCTGCGAGCAAAGGATTGATTTCATCTCCACTCTGGACGCTCCTCTATTCCGCGTTTCCCTCCCTTGGCCGCAACTCCATCGTTAGTCCTGACCATCGGCCGTCGTCCCTTCTGGTCGTGCCGTGTCTTGCCCCAAGCACATCCTTACTTTTGTTAACAGTCAAAACGTTGTCTTTATGCTGCGCTGGTTTAAAAAAAAAATCAATCCATGTGCTCCACGTCGTCGTGTCTCGGTGTCATTCCAAGCGGGCAGCTCTCAATGCTTCTCAGCTCGTCCCAATTTCTTTGTCAACGTCCCATTGTTTTGATCCATACGTCACAGCAGGTAACAATGTAAATTAATTCCGTGCAATTCTCTTATCAACTTATGGATGAAGACCTCCCCACTCTGTGTCGGTGTGTTTTAAATGTTGTTAAGTTTTCACCAGGTAAGGCCCACTGAGCTGTATACCTCGTATTCAAAAGCGACCTGGCCACAAATGACAGCTCAACAAAGTGGCTTATCACGTGGAAATTTATAGTTGCAGCCAAATACTCTAAACGCACGTTGTTGATTCTAAATGTGGAGGGGAAAATCGGAGGACCTAGAGAAAAATCCACGCGACAACAGGGAGACCATGCAAACTCCAAATATACAGCAGGCGTCGGGGTCGGGATCGAACCCACGACCTCCTGTATACCAGGCGAGGTAATTAACATCTCGCCACTACCGCGCCCCTGCGGAGCCGCCGCGTGCTTCACCGCGCCGCTCCGTGTGGGGGTCGGTGAAGGCGCGAGGCGGGGCAGAGACGTATGTATGTACAGTACGTATGTATGTTGAAATTGTGTCAATCGCATTGCATTCAACTTTGTTTGTCCGTGGCACACCACGGGAAGGGTGAGTCCGTTGCCGTTCAAGGGCAGATCGGTGTGGGGGTAGGATCAGCAGGAAAGAGGAAGGGATGCCGGGGCGGACAGAGATGAGGGCACGGCTCAAGATGTACATATGTATGTTGAAATTCTTTCGCGCAGCACCTAGCCAACCGTGCTAATCGGCGGTGCGGGGGAGGAGCGACAAACTAACCAGCAGCGGCGTGGCTTTTATCAGTCGGCGCGCCGAAGATTGATTGCACAAAGCGGCAGCTGCGCGGCGTAATCGGAGCGCCACGCGGCGCAATGCGGAGGTGTAAAATTGCGCCGCATTATGCCCGCGGATTGCGTTGTAGCGCTGCACCCGGAACCCTGTCCCGAGGGCATGTTCAGCTGTCTCGTAAGGGACTCGAGGAAAATAATGGAATTGAGGTTCGGGAAATGATATTTTTACATTGAACGCTCCCCAACGAAGGACAAAAGCGTTTTGCGCATTATTAGCGCTGTCATCCATAGGTATGTAACGTGGCGGTAACGGTAACTATCGCCGTAAGAGCAAACGTTAGCGTATCGCTGTGTTTCTCTTGGGAGTTGCGTGGTTGAAATTCGGCCAACTTGAGCGTAGGGTTGCCCAAAACTTGACAGATAAAGGGTCGCCGTGTCCTTCACCTGAGAGTCGGTCACTCGCAACGGTCGATGCCTACAAAAGGTTATGGTTGTACTGTACTTCTATGCTCCCCCGCCTTCACTTACCAATGCGCACCTGACCGGCAGTGTCATTGACTGACGTTTGAAAACACAAAACCGACGCGGGGGCCTATTTTTAAATCCGAAATCGAGTTTTGGCCCCGACAGCCACCCGCCGTCGGGACTCCACATTGCGCCGCTAATTAAAATACTCCGAAGATGAACGTGGAGCATAATCCAACGTGGCGCGCGTGAATTTACCAAAACTTTCTATCCTCTGTTTGGAACGAAACGGGTAACAAGCCCCTGCTGCCGCCGCCGCACCTGCGGCTTTCTTCCCGAATTGTTTTGCAGGATAACAACGCGCTGATGATCGACGAGACGAACGACATCCGCGTCATCGGCGTCATCACCGTCATTTTGCTCTTAGGAATATCGGTGGCCGGCATGGAATGGGAGGCCAAGGTAACCATTTTTTTTAATCGGTGGAAATGTTTTGACTGTTTGTTGGGTTTTTTTTATCTGTTTGGCCAGGATGGTCCTCGCTGTGTCCAAGACTCGTTTTGTAAGAAGAGGTAGGGGGAGGGGGGTCCTGCTTTGCGGTGTTGTGACCACATTTTCTGGCCAGCTTGGTGAAGTATGGGCATCTCCCCCCCCCCCCTTCCCCTGGGATGGTAGTGCAGCTGGAAACTCGGTGCAGCAGTCTCGGCAGAGGTCTTCATCCAGCGGTGGATTGACCATAGCTGATTACAAACCCAGCGATCAAGGAGTAGCAATTTTACCCGTAATAAAGCCTAAATATTCTCATGAGCAAAAAATTTGCCTTTGACCAAATCGCCCCGAATCCCCCCTCACTCATCAGAGCTCCGAATCTAAGCAGGCATGAGCCTGGATGGTGCTTGGATGGGAAATCTCCGCACATGGCAGGTGTCTATATAGGCTCTAGACGTCAGCGGACGCAGGACAGCAAAACCCACTCTTCTACTGCGCTTCTATGCTCGTCGCCTTCACTAACCCGTACTCACGAGCGCGGTGAGCTAAATCTGGTCAAACAACCCCTGGGGAGGCCCTCATCCAGCAGTGGAGTGACAAACGGCTGCTCAGCTGCAACGAATACAACTTGATGCGCTCGGGACAATGCGGCGTTCGTGCCTCGTCGACTCGGGCCGGGTTTTCACCCCGAGAATAATCGCCGCTTTATGGAATCGAAGTAATGGATGCCGCGCGACGGAAGGTTTCTTCACCGCTGCTGTGGGGGTGGGGGTGCAGGGGGCGGTCTCTGTGAATGGCGCTCATTGAGGCTCTAGAGACCCGTGGGCGCGAGCGCGAGCGTGGCGGCTTCGCGATTTCATCACCTGCGTGAAGCCTCGTGGGTGATGCCTCGACAACAACAACAACCCTGGAGCGGGGCGCGACGCCCGTGGTGCCGGCCAGGAAGCGTGGCCGGTCGCGAGCCGACCGCCTCCACGCGGCGACCGCCATGCCCCAATCGCGGGCGGGGACGCTCGCCGTGGCGACCGCTCCTCCGACGTGTTTTGTCAGGTGGCGCCGCCGCACGTTGTCTCGCCACGATGCCCGACGTTTCGCCCCGCGTGCCGGGAGCCGCTTCACCACGAACCGAGTCGGCGTCACGCCGCTACAGCGGGCGACGGCACGAGCCGCGTGGCGAGTTGAGCGTCGCGCGCGAACGACGATCGCGCGGTAATGCCGGGCGCTAAGCCGCACACGCTTGCGCGTGACCGCTTGTCACCGCAGGCTCAGATCGTCCTCCTGGTCATCCTGCTGCTGGCCATCGCCAACTTCCTCATTGGCACATTCATCCCCCCGACCGAGGACAAGAAGAGCCGAGGATACTTTGGCTACCAAGGTGAGCGCCGAGAGGACGTCGCGTGTTTACCACCAGCGGCGTAGTGACGCACGTAGGTCAACTCGTCGATTTAAAAATCGACTCTGGCCGTGCACGCGTCCAAACGTCGGGCGTGGGATCCGACGTGGTTACGAATCGTGTACGGGTTTGTGAGGGGGGAGCGGTGGAGCGGCGATTGGCGCGCTGCGCTGTGAAACTCCGGCCCGGATGAGTTCGATTTCGGCCACGGCTACGTTTGAGCCGGTTCTGCCGCATTGGCCAGCATGGTGACGTAATGGTCAGACGGCTACCAGTGACCAGCATGGTGTGGGTAGGGAAGGCCTTTATCTGTATTAGGGTTCCACTTAATATCCACGTGGGTAGGTGAAGTTTCAGTTTTTTTCTGGATCGCACCTGTCTTCTTGATTTTTGACGTTGGGTGTAAAAGTCGGCAGCCGAGTGTCACCCGGGTGGGTTCCGTAATCTCTCTCCAGGTTGCTCCATAGATCCTCTCTTCCTGTCTACGGCCATGCCTCTACGATGACTCTGTACGTGCGTTGACTGTTGTGCGTTTTTCAACTTTGTTGACCAACCGGTACATTTTGCAGTGGCTTTGGTTTTTAAAAGGCAATTGAATAAGACCAGGAAGCTTGACTTTGAAGTAACAAAGTTAAATTTTGAATGGCACCCTAGGCTGCAGATAATTACATCTTAAATTATCGATGGCTTATATGATCCCACAGCCACGAGACGTGCGACATTCTCTCCGCATTGTACAATGTCGCTATTCTTGGATTCGTTTGCGACGCTTAATCGTGTCAATCGCACTGCATGAAACTTTGTTTACCCATGGCACACCACGGGAAGGGTGAGTGGTAGAGTCCGTTGCCGTTCAAGGGCAGATAGGTGGGGGGTAGGATCATCAGGAAAGAGGAAGGGATGCCAGGATGGAAGCCCCGAAGACGGACAGAGAGGAGGGCACAGCTCAAGATGTACGAGTGTTTGTTGAACTTCTTTCACACACCGTAAGTAGCCAACCGCGCCAATTGCAGGTGCGGGGGAAGGACAACAAACTAAACACAAAAAGAAGTCGTAAAGAAATGAGTTTTCAATCTAGATTTGAAAGTGCCATAGCTCCAGCGGCGTCCTAATATCGGAAGGAAGGGCGCATCTGAAAGCGGTCGACACAGTTGACCTTTGTTGTTCGATGGTGAGCCACAAGCCGCTGTTGCGAGGATGGCCGAAGTTTGCGTGATGGGCCATGCCCCTTTGACGAGAACAGCCAAGGTATTGTGGCTCATTTGTGGCAAGCACTTTGTGTGTAATGAGCGTGATCTTAAAGAGCGACCAGAGGTGAGCTGTGCGGAGGGAGCGGTGTCGATTTTCACTGCGGGCGGAGAGAGGGGAAGCGTTCAGAATGTGGGAGGCCACACACACAAGTCGTGTCATTTAAGGGAGGCTTGCGCTGATTTATTTTGAGAGACTTGTAAGGAGAATCATTCGCACCTGGTTGGTTATCTGCATCCTTATTTGGGAAGACTTTTCAAAGACGGAATTTTGTTCGTGCAAAGCGCGCATGCCACTCGACGGGATTGCTTATGCGTTCAAGAAGAGCACGGATGCTCGAAATATGTCTGTGATTGCGTCACGTCGGCATTTCGCAATGGCATTTGGCGATAGCACATAAAGGTCTGATCGGCCCCAGTGAACGAGTGAATGAATGGCGTTAGTTTATACAGTGAAGCTATTCATGTGCCGATGAGATCAGGAGATTAAAGTTTAAATGTTTACAGGTTACGGCGAGTGCGGGGAATGATTTCAAAACCCAGGAGCCATAGAATGAGCCCTGTAACAGCAACTCTTGTAAGGCCCCAGAGGGCAGCAGCAGCGGTGCCCGAGGGTTGGGTTGTTTTTACCTTTCCTCACTTCTCTTGGGGAATCGACGGTCGTTGACCACCCTGGGCGACCGCTTTTTCGCGACCAATTTACGACTCTCCGACAGAGCTGGCCACTGTGTGCGCCGAGGGTCGCGGCACCAAGCGACCGCCCGGTGGTGGCAGGCGGTGGTCGTGGGACCGGGCCGACGAGCGCGGGGGGGGGGGGGGGCTCCTTTTGGGCGTTCCGTCGCCAGGAGGGACCGCCACCGGCCCTGCGACATTTCTTTTTGCTTCTCTTGCTGTGCTTTATTTTAGATTTGTTTTGCTTCTTTCACTTTGGTGCCCCCCCCCCCCCCCCCCCCCCAGGGTGACTCTTGCAAATGAGACTTTTGTCCTGGCCTTTTGAGGTCTCACCCCCCGTTATAGGCACACAAATGGTGAAGGTGGAGCCCTGCGATTGCTTGCTCATGCCACCGTTTGGCCAAAGGGCCTCCGCTAAAGGGGGAGATCTGGAGGGTATTTTAGGCCTACGCTTTGATGCTGGACAGACGTCTTGCAAGAAGGGGGCCATACCCACACTTTACCCCACCACCACACACAACCTACCCGATTGACTAATTGTGGTGCAGGTGGACGGACAGAAGTGGTGGGGGAGATTTAAGAAACTCGCCCTCATTGTATGAACTGCTGTCCATAGGCTTGGCGCCACCTTCTCTTCCCATTGGACGGTAACGGCCCCTGTGGCGTTACTACACAGAGACCAGGGCTTTGTGCGGCGCGTTCCAAATTTGCGGGACACGCAAATTGCTCGGGTTGGAGAAACGCACGTCGCAATCGTCATCCCGCCCCCCTGAGAATCTACCGCAGACCGCGCCTGTGAACTTTACAGCCTCGGTGACGAAAGCCTTGCGCTGTGAGTTGGGCACGAATAGCAGGCGTACTCGTGAGTTTTCTGTTGATGACGACGAGCGCACACACCCACATTGACCGTAGGCTCGTGTGTTCGTTTCTCCTTGCAGCGAAAGTATTTTCGGAGAATATGGGCCCCGATTTCCAAAACGGAGAAACCTTCTTCTCGGTGTTCGCCATCTTCTTCCCGGCGGCAACCGGCATCCTGGCTGGGGCCAACATCTCCGGGGACCTCGCCGTGAGCTCCTGCGTGCACACGCATCATCCTCATCGCGATCCTCATCATTGTCGTGTCCATCATCGTCGTCACGATCCTCCTCTTATTCATCATCAGGTTCATCATCACCTTCATTATCTTCATCATCATCCTCATCAGCCTGGATGAAGTCGTCCTCCAGCTGTGGCCGTCCCTCACGGTCTCAAGATACAACGATCCTTCTAATTCCCGCTTTCCTCGCTCCATCTCCGCGGGTGACGTCGACTCTGAGGTGTTTTCTTCTTTGGCTGCCGCTCTGTCATCCGTCTTGACCACGCAGCAATCGACCGTTGTAGCCATTATGCGTCCCGCCCTCGACCGCATTCAAACCAATGTCCGCAAGAGGAACACACGGACCAGAAATGCGCCCAATGCATGCATTGAATTGTGGATGTACGAAACAACCGTGTGTGCGATCAATGAAAGTTCTACGCAAACGCATCTTCGGGTTAACGATGCGAACGAGAGACACGCGGCAAACAGCGCGGAATGAACAAGCTGCTAAACGCCCACCCCCTTGTGCCGCGGTGGCTAGAAGATTTGAATTACCTCGCCTGGTATACAGGAGGTCGTGGGTTCGATCCTGACCCTGACACCTGTTGTATCTTTAGAGTTTTCATGTTCTCCCCGTGGTCATGTGGATTCTTCTCCGGGTCCTCCGGTTTTTCCCTCCCACATTTGAGAAACCTGCGTTTAGAGTATTTGGCTGCTATAAGTATGCGCGCGATAAGCCGCTTCGTTGAGCTGTCATTTGTGGCCCGGTTGCTTTTGATAAAGAGCCACATAGCTCAATGGGCCTTACCTGGTCAAATAAAACACTGTTTAGGTGTTAGTTTCAAGGCATTTCAAACCCAACTGCGTAACTTTCACAAGCGTCATGAATGGGAATGACTTTGTGCCGTCCTTCCCCACATTCGCGATTGAGGAACGACCTCTTTGCCCACCCCCCCCCCCCCCCCCACACATTTCCCCCTGTCATCGGAACGTCGAAATCAAGAGACTGTGAACAATTGGTGAATGTGCCGCTAACTTCCCCCCCGCCCGCCCACCACTGCGCTCTGCACCCACAGGACCCCCAGGCAGCCATCCCACGCGGCACGATGCTCGCCATCCTCATCACCACCATCACGTACCTCGGCATCGCCATGAGCACCGGTAAGAGCCGCCTGTGGAACGCCGGCCGCCTCGCGTCGGGCAAGCGGGGGGGGGCGAGGAAGCGTTCTCTCTCGTCAGCGGTGGGCGCCGCGCTGGTGGCATGTTAACTACCTCGCCTGCTATACAGGAGGTCGAGGGTTCGATCACGACCCTGCCGCCTGTTGTGTATTTGGAGTTTGCGTGTCCCTCTCCACCCCGTGGTCGTGTGGATTTTTCTCCGGGTTCTCCCGTTTTTTCCCTCCACGTTTAGAATCAACATGCGTTTTACAATATTTGGCTGCTATATATTTCCACGTGATGATAAGAGACTTGGTTGAGCTATCATTTGTGGCCAGGTCGCTGCTGAAAGAGTTATAAATCTGAGTGGGCCTTACAAGGTAGAATTAATCTAATAAAATAACTTTATCGGTACCGAGGCTCCCTCAAGGCCATTTGGCAGGGCGTGTGGCACAGTTTGACGCTGGCTAGCGTAGTGCGGTCATGTCACTACAGTTCTTTGCGGGGAGTATAATGTCTTTAAAAACAACGGCGCTATGCCACATTAGCTACGCCTTTACATTCACCAGGTAGGTCTCCTGGCAACAGCGTGATAGTGAGGTTCGTTTTTGCAAGGTTCGTTACAAACCCGGCCTCCCGTTGACTGCCCTCGCGCCACCAAGTCTGATGAAGCGCACCTCGCTGAGTCTGATGAAGCACACCGCTGATCCTTCAGAATGGCCACCTCGCGTTCCCACCGCTGATTTGCAGGTGGTGGGGGAGGGTGGTGAAAGGCCACTTAATGAGACCGGCGGGCAGGGCGGCTGGCACCCACGCGAGTTATTGAAAAGGCCCCGAGCCTGGAGCCGGAGCGGTTGTCAAGGGCCACTGGGAGGTTTTGTTTTTACAGGACGAAGTTCCTGCCAGGCCGTAGCCCCGGCAGCGGACGGTGGTGATGGATGGTGGCGGCACACTCGCAGCCCACGTGGGCGCAGCGACGGGATGATTTAAAGTCTCTGGGCTGCGTTGTTTGTTTAGGCCTGGGTCGGGTGCGTGGCGAGATTGTTAAGGGAGCATTCTAGCCATCGGCGGTTGTGCGTCTGTGTAGTATTTAGGCTGCTGTCAATGTGATCATTGGAATTGTTAGCGCAGTCTTTTCACTGGTGTGTCGTCAAGCTGTTGGATAGTGTTCAGGGTATAGTCTCAGGGCTGTTCAAGCTGTTATGTTCGGCTGCTGTGTCGATGTTAGGCTGTCCTCTCACCTATCCAGCTGATGTCCGTGTCAGGTATCAAAGTGGAGTGCCCGCCCATGCTCGGTTGAGCATGGGCGGGCAATCTCATCCGGTGGCATAAATTCCACATTCCTATGGCAAGGACCAGTTTTAACTTCTAGATTTGAAGCTTTCGTGACTGCAAGGATTCATATTCTTAGGTTTTTTCGGTAAAGTCACGTAGGTAAAAAATTCAAATTAATAAAAGTAAAATAAAAATTTAATAAAAATCATGACGTTTCGGAGGCAACACAAGCTTCCTTCTTCAGGTGGAACCGTCACAGCACGATAGCTGTATCACGTAAGAGAAATTCCAAGAAAACAGTCCTTGTATATATACTGGTTGAGTGTGGGAGGAGCCAAGGTAGGCCCTGGATATTATTATTGTGAGGTTCGGTGCGGCTGAAACACGCTGTTAGCTTTACCGAAAAAACCTAAGAATACAGTTTGAACATCTCTCATCAGCAACCGTGTGGCCCATTCGGGTGACGGCAGTTTAGGAACGCTCCACAAAACTACGATCACCAAGGGGGAGCATCGTAATTCCATACCCTCCTGGTGGCGAGTACATCACTGAGTAGTAGTGAGTGAGTCTGGTCGTCGGTCGAGTCGGGCGGTGGTGGTGAGCTAGTTTGGTTGGCAGCACCGATGTTGGGCTGGGAGAGGTGTTGTTGTGTGGTTGTTGTTCTGCCAGTAGCTGAGTTGTGTTTGTGTCGGTTCCTTATAAAGGTCAGGCATGACCTCGCGGGGGGAGGTTAACGACGCACGAGAGAAGAGTTGCGAGGGCGCGGGGTCCGTTTATCGTCACCCGGCGAGTTCGTTTCTTCACGCGGGCGGTGTTTGACGTCACGCCCGGATTTTACGTTTGGGGTTTTATTATCGTTCATTTCCCGTGCACCGACTAACAGCGGTGGTAAACACATCGCCATGCTTTCAAGCAAGGGGTCGTTTAAAAAACAGCAGGGTGGGGTGGGGAGGGGGTGTTGCCCAGCTCTTGTATTTGTTTTCAGGGTTGTTACGTTCCCGACGTTCGGCTTCTGCGTGCGCCGGGAGTTTTTTCAGCAGCTGAATTTGGGACCGCGTCGTGCCGAGTGACGTGCCGGTGCAACCCAAACGCGGGCGCACGAAGCTCGACAGCACCGCCGCGATAGACCCACACTTGGCAAGCGGCGTCGCTTCTTCCCAAGCACACTCCTCGAGCGAGCGAGCGAGCGAGCGACGTGCTGCAAGTGTAGCAAGCCGATTTTATTTATTTGTTAAAAATTTTGAAGAAGAAAGTTTTTTCAACCAGTGCATCCATCTGTCCCGCTGCGACATTCGGATCAGAAACAGGCGGGGAGCGTTGACGGAAGAAAATGGAACGCGAGTGGAAGAGTGCTAGAAGGAGCATGGAGAGGTTGCACACTCGAGGTGCAGACCGAGAGGCAAACAGAGGAGGGTGCGGAATAGAGAACGTCGCGTTGACAGCGACCTGCTAGGAAAATTCAATTGGGCCTTGGCAGGACGACGCCGCGAGACTAGGCGATGGCTGGCGGTCGAGATGGCAAACGGAACGGCAGGCACGAGAGAGGATGTCTCGCCGTGCAGATGGAGCGACAAAAATGGGCCCGTTGTGCGGGAGCTACTCCCGTCGGTGGATCGTCGCATCACCGTGGGAGGGGTGGCGTGTGATGGGCGTCGGACAGGCATTCGTGCACTGGCAGATAGATGGTGGTTGATGGTGATGACAAGGATTAGGAATCTTGTGGATTTCGGTGTCCGTTAGAGGGGCGTCAGTTCCAGAGCCGTTTCTGCAGTGGCGTTTTGGATGGGTTAAAAACCACACAACGTTTCCCGCTTTTGTCGTCCGTTCTCGTACAGGAGCGCGCCTGCTTTGTGGCCATGTCAAACCTGCCTTCGTGATGGGGAATTTGGCTCTCTCGCTACAATTTTTTAAATTGTTTTTCTAACACCCGGTCAGCCTGACTCGCACACCCCCACGGTAAATCGAGGATTTTCTCCGTCGTCGTGCGCCGTGACTTTCACCCCCCCCACCGCCAAACCTTCCCCCCCTGCCCAACTTTCCCCCCCACCCCTCCCCCCATCAAAAACACAAGGCACCTCGTTAATCGGCACACTTTAATCTTTACTGTTTGTGTGCTAACGGCGATCGCAAGTGTTTATTGGAGGCAATCGAAACTGTTCCTTGCCGACGCCGGCAAACGTGTTCACCGGTTAACTTGTCAGATCACCAGCGCTCGGCTATGCCCCCCCCCACGTTTTAGGTGTCTTTTACCACGGCACTTCCAAAACGTAGCCTGCTGCATGCGTGCGTGTTAGGCATGCGTATGTGTGTGCTTGCTTGCGTGCGGATGTGCGTTCAACTAAGGCAGTCGAACATTGAGTCAAACACTCTTAGTCAGGTCGGCCAATCTGTGAACTCGATAAAGCCCTTAAATACACACGAAACAAATTATGATGTTCAGGTATTCCTCCATCTTGTGTTCCTAAATGACCTCAGTCTTCCAAAGTCTGTCACTTGTTCGTTCTGTCTTGTCAGTGTGGCCCTCTGGCGTTTGCTGGGCAGTCATCGGAGTCCTTGTGGTGCTTGACGTTGTCCGTTCGCTCGTTATAAGTCGATTCAAATAATAATAAAAACGAATCTCACGAACAAAGCTAACACGGGGCGGACGTGCGCTTTCTGCGGTCGTGGGTTCAAATGCCATTGCCTGCCCCCTAGCACGGCTTGTAAAAAGCGATGCGTATCTTGGCCGGCCCGCAGATGGCTCATAAACGTTAACTTTTAACCGGAGTTCACGCGCGTTGGACGTGTCCACTTTACGACGCGCTGATACGCGCGCGAACCAATGTGCACGTCAAGAGTGGCTCGCTAGGAACTTGAGCATGCGGCGATGCACATCGGTCGATCGATTGAAATTGATTTTTACACTCGTGATCTGACTTGTCGAATTTGTGCGCGTGTTAAGAATTGTTTATTAAAAATGTACGTAAATGATCGCATACAAAAAATACGTCACCATGCTAAAAAAATAATAATACACACAAGGTCATAAAAATTAGACCACAAGAATTGTCGTTTGTGCTATTTTCCGACGTTGTTTCTGGTGCGCTATCGACGTTTGCGTCGTGAAACAATGAACCCATTGGGAAATTTCGTGGAGCAGCGTTTCCTTCGCGCGTGTCTGAGAACCGCATTTATCAGAGATTTCCTTCTGAAAAAAATCCTTCAATCGGTATATTTATCTTAACACAGCAGGGGGCATACTTTCCTACACCCTTCTATAAGGTTTTGCCTGCTTGTCACAGGGCAATGAAACCAGGAATTTTAATCCTCGGTGCTAGAATGGAGCCAAATTAAAGTAATATATATATAAATAATTGCTGTGTGTGTATGCACTTATTGGCAGCGACTGGGCAGAGAGACTGCACTTGAGCCCAGTTTTGCGATTACGAGCTTGTAAACACATTAGCGGGGAAGAGGCCTGAAAGGTTTTTTTTTCCCCCCTTATAAAGTTGGGCACACAAAGTGTTTTTGTCTGCGAGCTCCCGTTACCTGGAAAAAAGGTCATTAGTGTTGTTCATATATTTTACCCGACGCAGTTTAGCGGTGTTTTTGTGGCCCAGTTAGGGATTGATAATTTCGCGTTTCACGTGGCAATTAATTTGTTTTCATGTAATTTCCAAATCTTCCTCGGAGGCTGAACATCACAGCTTCCCAAACAAAATCCTGTTTGGCAGTTTTCGGATTTCTGGCCATCGGACGTGTCCTCAGCTTTTTCACCTTTGCTTACATTTTTTCTTCACGCTGTCATACGCGGTAGGGCTCCTCCTGCCCGCTGCTGTTATTACGTGGAGGGTAAACATCGCAGATGCTGTTATTCCCCGTCTCTGTCGGACCCTAGCTTGATTCTATGAAGAGGGCACGGAATTCACGCGTGGAGAAGAGACTTTGCGGTTATTCCATATATGGGTGCGAGATGTTAACTACCTCGCCTGGTATGCAGGAGTTCGTGGGTTCGATCCCGACCCTGTCGCCTGCATATTTGGAATTTGCATGTCTCTCTCCCCGTTGTCGCGGGGTCCTCCGATTTTAGGTGATGCTATAAATTTGCACGTGATAAGCCACTTTGTTGAGCTATAATTTGTGACCGGGTCGCCTCTGAAAAGGAGCTATACAGCTCGGGTGGGCCTTACCTGGTAAAATAAAAAATCTTTTAGTTTCAAATCCCGCGCTTCTATTCTCTACGTCGGCCTTCGTCAATGGAGGGCTCCCCCCCCACCCCTCTTCGTGGCCACGCACTTTGGCCCCTCCCACCTGTGGGCTCCGACCATAGGGTTGCCAACTGTTCTGTTTTTCCCAGGATCGGCCTCGTATTTTGAGCAGGCGGCATCTGCGGGGGGAAATATTCCATTTAAAAGCGCCGTGTCTTTTTTTGTCTGTTGCATAATGATTGTAACAACATTACACCACTCTAGATGCATTTATATATATATGTGTATGTCGGCCGCCCCCCTGTAATCATTTCTTCCTTACATGATACCTCCCCGGGTTTTTGTTTACTGCAAGAGGTGGCAACCCTTCTCCGGTGCAGTTGTGCACCCGCCTGCATGCTCTCGAGAGCTTACGCCACGGCTCTCCCCCCCCCCCCCCCCCCCCGTTCTGGCTGTGCGCAGGCTTGCAAAAGAGCACGTAAATTAATCAGAAGGGGAATTAAGTTTTTCCTGGCTATAAACGATGATCCTGCCTGACGACAGGCCGTGTCCGAACGTGTCGCGGATTTCGCTTGAGTCGTGGCGGCAAAACGACCCTCGCGATTTGCAGTGGCGCCTTGCGCTCACCCGCTCACTCCACGATCAGTTGGCTCTGGCCTGGGCAGGGGGCGTGCGCAGCGTTCATTACGAAGAGGCCTGGCAATTTCAACGAGCTTCGTTAATTGTTGGCCCGAGGTAGCAAGGAGTCTAATGTTACACCGAGAAATGTAATAACCCGGCGCAGCTGTGCAAACTTTTTCCGAATTGCGAGGCCGCTCTGCGAAGTGTCACTGACGGACCAACGGCCGCACTGGGCCACTCCGGTGAATGGATGGGGGCCGTCGCCGCACGTTCAAGTTAATCGAACTTCGAGGCAGGATCCGCCGAAGGGTCGTCCTGGCTCTTCGGCGGATGGGATGTTTCGGCACTATTTCACCCCCCTGCCTCCCCCACTTTATTTTGTTCCAGCATCAATTTAAGAAGGCCTCTTACACTCAAGAGTGCCATTTACAAATTCAGCTGCTGTGTAGCCTTAACCAACTGTTGGGGCAAGTGCTGTTAGCGAGCACTTAATGAAGGCCGGCACGGCACACGAGGGGTTGGGTGGCCAGCAACACACCCGACCAAAATTTGTCTCCCTAGTGGTGATGTTTACGCATCATATTTGAAACTGAGTTTACCTAGAGGAGGCCCAGCACCAGTGCAGATAATAGCCGCTGGTGTTGGCCACGAGCGGGGATCGAACTGTTTGCCGAGTTCGTAGCGCAGGGCGCGAGCCACTCCACTACCGCTCCCCTGTTGTGTTTAACAGCAACGCACTCGCTGGCTGGGTACTGTCAGGGGGCCTCAGTTCACGGAGCCATTACTGCTGAGATTATCTTTTGTTTGAAGTGATCGGTTTCCATTTTCTGATTTATTGCCAAAAGGAAGCGAACGCCTCCCAGCGGAACATTAGCGATGGAATCGGGTTATCAGCGATGGTGCCGGGGCTGCAGGAAAACCAAGCGAAAGCGTAGAGCCCCAGTGAGCTCAAGGGGCCCTGGATTCATAATAAAATAAGAGGCAAATCAAACGTCGCGTTGAATTCAAATTCTAATTTACGCAGAAATATGAACATGAATAGCCGATTTAATCTCTCTCATCCCGACGCTGCCTGGAGCTCTTCTCTCGTCTGACTCCATCTCTGTTTCTTGTCTTCATCTCTCTCAATTCTCTACGTCTGTCTCATGGGTGTCTCTCTCCTCTATGTCGTGATTGCTTGGCCCATTTCCCTTCTCTCTGAGCTTCTAAATCTGAAGGACGAAGGGCACCCAAAAAGCGATTTCCGCTATTGGGGGGAGGGGGGGGGGCGGCGTTGGTCCAGCGCCACCAAGCGTGGGTCACGGCACCCAAACGACGACGCTAACCTCCGCTATCCGATCCCCGATCCGATGTCTCCCCCCCCCCCCCCGGCCCCGTGTCCCCGTCTGGTGCGGCGCGTCCTGCAGGCGCGGTGGCGGTGCGCCACGCCACGGGCCGCATCAACGACTCGCTGGCGCTGAGCGGCTCTGCCGCCAACTGCTCGGGCGCGGCGTGCGACTTGGGCTACGACTTCTCCTACTGCAAGGAGCACGAGTGCAATTACGGCCTCATCGACAACGTGCAGGTGCAGCGCACGCGCACACACACGCACGCACGCGCGTACGTACGCACGCAAGCACGTCCCTGCGTGTACATAGGGCGAACGCAGCGGTGTCCCGCGATTACCACGCATCGCCCGCACCCACCGCGCTACTCTCCTCGGTAATCCCATGGTGCTGCTGCACCCATAACGCACTTCCCTATGTACGCGTAGGTAAAGTGCGTATCCCTGTAACGGAACCGTCGTCGGCCGTGAGCGGGAATGGAACTCGGGTCGCCGGATTCACGGCGCAGCGCCGCCGACCGCCGCAATACCACTCCCCATCCACGCACGCACGTACACATTTTGCGTACGCGTACACACACGCACTCTCGCAGCCGTGTTCTTGAAGCGCCGGGTCATTTGTGGTGAAGGAGGAGGGGGAAGGGGATGCTGGGGCGAGTTAATCTCTCGCAGTCGTTGCCGTTAATCGTTGTGTTGGTACGCCTCGCAGCGGGGATCGTTGAACATTTTGTCAAGAATCTCTCTGTGCTCGGCGGTAATCCCCTTTGTGTGAGCACAGCCACTGGCTGGAGTTTAGTGAGTTTCCATTTCTTAAAAAAAAAAATCTGTAAGCTGAATAATCAAATTTCACACCCGCGTGCGTTGCTTCGTGCTGCCGCATGCCAAATCCCAACCCAAAGGGCAGGGATTTGGAAAGCGCAGCTCTTAAGCTGGAATAACTTTATTCTTTTACTTTCATCCTCAATATAACGAGGCTAAGGTCAAGAGGTCATGCCATTGATTTCTCTGCGTCCCGCCATCTCTTCCCTTCTGCCAGATCCTAAAGTTGACACCTGTCCTTCAGTGACCACCGTTTTCATCGCCACCGTGGTCTGGATTTAGATTTTTTTTTTTGCCTTGCCTCCTCGATTCCCAACCCCTGAGTGGCACTCCCCAATGCCAGGCTCGGCGACTGCTCCTCTTCCATACATCCTGCACATGTGGCCCGCCCATCGCACCCTCCAATCCCTGATTTACATCTTTGAACAATTTATTGCCACCTATCTATCTACTTTTCGAAGCCGACAAGTTGTTCACCCTTCATCCCCGTTTCATGGAATTTATAACGTCCGTCATTAAAGGGCCGTTGTCGTCTTTTCAGTTGACTGTGTTAAACGCCGGCTCTCTGACTCGTGCGTCAGCGCAAACAATACTCCTATTCTGTTATTATGACCACCGCTGTACGATTACAGGAACATGTGGATTAGAAAACTTCGTATTGAGGCTTGGGCAGGGCACGTCATGGCTCGAGGGGATGAGATGGCCAAAAGGATGAGGCCGGTGACGGGCTTGGCAGCCAAAGTGGGGGAAAACTCGCCCAATAGGACGACCGCCGCAGAGATGGAGCCATGAGATCCGTCCACGTGCATGAGTGACGACTGGCGGTAGCAGCGGTGGTGCCCGGCGAGGGATGGGGATGCCATGGGGCGGAGGCGGGAGGGAAGCGTTCATCCAGCGGTTTGTAGACAACGGCCGATGCCGTTCGATCGTCGGTTGCTTCGTCGGGCAATGCCGCTACGTAGGATCGTAGCTTTTGCTGACGCTAGCCGTGCCGCCGGCGTGCTCGTGAGTGGTCCGACGCGATGCTGCGCTCAGGAGGTCTGTCGGTTCCCGCCGGTCCCGCGCGCCGCCGGGTGTGCAGGGGCTTGCACGCGCATGTCGCGGCTCGCAAACCCCGTGCTCGTGTGGGGGAGGAGTCCCCACCCCCCACACGTTTCGTTTTTGGCTCTGCTTTAAGGCTGGCGAGCCGGCGAGTTGGTGACACTGGTGAGGATGGCACAGTGGGTGACGCTTGTGCCTCGCAGAAAGAAGGGCCTGGGTTCGTGCCCTAACTCGGTTGCCTTTTTCTGTGGAATTTGGTGTGTGTTTAGGCCCCCCCCACCCGCCGCTGTTCTGCGTGGGCTTCCTCCCACGGCTACAAAATAATAGAATGTAACCGGTGTTGAGCAACCACCCCAACGCTGAAAATGTACCTGCACGTCACTCGATTGGGATGAACACTCGGCAGCAACATCGCCCGCTCTGGATAAACCTTGGCAGGAGCCTCCCTAAAAACAGTCTTGAGGCTTTTCTAGGTTTCCAAACATAGTAGTTATAATAATATTTGTTTTAAAGTGAGCCAACGAGCGAGTGTTTTAAGAGCAGCATTACAGAGCTAAAATTAAGTTGATGCGCTTCCCACACACGCACGTGGCGCACACGCCTGGCACGTGTCACAGATTTCATGCTGCCAAATACAGATCTGTCCTTTTCAGTGCAACAAGGGCTGGTGTGCTGCTGCTGGTTTTTTTTGCCAGCCTGCTTTCTGAGCCCTTGCAAGGGAAGTTGTTTGCAGTTGACTGTGGCGCAGGTGGGGGGAAGCACAGGTGGGAGCATTTGCCAGCCATCTCAGTGAGTCAACCCTGAACTCCCTGGCTCTGTCCCGTGATCTCCCCTCTCGCTCTTGCGAGCCTTCGTCACGTCACGTTGCCAACCAAAGTGCACCTAGCCTGGCACGAACCACTTGGTGGCTGACATCACTGCCGCTTGGTGGTGAAAATGGCTGTTGCTGCTCTCGTTCTTCTCTAAAGTCTTAAGGCGACGCACAATGGAAGTGACCGGGCGAAAGTTTGCTGCTTCGCCACCCCCCCCCCTTTGCGAACGATTCTAATCATCCACTGCTCTCTGGTGAACAGGTCGATCGATAAGCGACGCCTGGCAGCGTTTATTTGGGAAGGGTTTGGGAATGGAACCCGTCACCGACGCGGTCAGTCAACTCCCCGCCGTTGCCGCGTGGCGCGGCGTACGAAGCAGGGCTGCCGCTGAGTCTAGAATCTCGGAGGAAATCCCATGGGAACGGAGTAAATCTCCTTTGCGCAGGTGCCAAGTGTAATTTTTAGTTTTTTGGCTCGATGGTTCAAGTTTTTTTTGCGTAGTAATACTTAATTGCGCTTCACGGACATGAAAAGCATTCCGTGCGGACAAGTCTTAAGGCGTCGTGATGTCAAAATCGCAAGGCACTGGCGGCCGGCTTGCGGGGGCGACCTTTCGCGCGTGACCTTTTTTGGCGGAGGCCCAAAAAAAAAGAAAATCATCTCACGTCCACGAGAAATAATTAGGCCCGCGCTGCGTCCCCGTCGTGCAAAGCAATTGACACCGTAGAGTGAAGAATGGGGACCGACGATGACGGGGAGCCAATTAAAGCTCCCCCCGCGCTCGAGCCCTTGGCGCGCGCCGGTGTCTGTTGCGGCGAGGTGCCGCGCGGCAGAGGTCGCAATCTGGTACCCGGCCGGGTACGGGTATGGGTACCCGTTTGCGACCCTGGTTCGGCGGGGTACGGGTACGGGTAGCCGCACGTGACTCACCCCAACCAATGAGTGAGAAGGCCGTGAGTCACTGGTGAGTAACCGTTTGTCACTCATTTCCCAACGTCTTGTTTCTTCTCACAATTCAAGTTCCTAGAATCAACCCACCCGTCTCTCTCTCGTTTCACCGTTTTCGTTTTGTAAAGAATTGGGCTTTGTTAGGTCGGCCGCGAAATGTGACTCCGCCACCCGTGGAGACCGTCCAGTTAACACCCGCGCGCCCAGCGATGCCACAGCGAGTTGGCTCGTGAAATGACGATGTTGTTTTGAAGTCGTGTGTAACGGGAACACACGTCGAGTCCACCTGTTAGATCTGCAGAGGTTGAGCTCTGGTGAGTCCATTTACTCCGAGTCCGCATGGGAAGCGACGCTCTGCGACGCCCGAGTCTTTGCCCTCGTGTAAGGCTGTGCATATGAAATGCGCATGAGCACACCTCACATGACTATGCATAACTTGCCTCATCAACGTGAGTACGCGTGGGGACCCTCCACGTCACACACGTTCAACTGGAGCGGATATTGTGGCTAGCCTAGGATCGCAATGGTGAATGGCGACGCGCAAGCGACAGCAGGGTTGTTTTTGTAAAAATTAATTTTCAGCGTTTAAAAAGCGGCTCCATCCATTGTGCCTCATGAACGAGGTTTACAATGGGGAAATGTTGTTATCATTGCTACTACGTACTGTGGATAGACTAGAACGTACTGTTGGAAAAGTCAACACTCACAAAGGGGCACCAGGTGGCTAGGAGATATTAACTACCGATCCTGATGCCCGCTGTATATTTGGAATTTGCATGTTCTCCCCGTGGTCGCGTGGATTTTTTTCCGGGTCCTCCGGTTTTTCCCTCCACATTTAGAATCAACATCACGCGTGCAGAGTATTTGACTGCTCTAAATTTCCACGCGGTAAGCCGCTTCGTTGAACTATCATTTGTGGCCAGGTCGCTACTGCAAAAGAGCTACGTAGCTCAGTGGGCCTTATCTCGTAAAATAAAAAATATTGTTTAGTTTCTGAATGGAACGTGCTTGGAATTGCACTGGGATACAGGAAGAGGAATGTTTGGATCGAAGAAAATGCGCAAGTTAGAGGCGGCGTGCAAATGGGCTCCGGCAGGACGCAGACGCTATCTGGGATAGTGGCCAGTGGCCAGGATCGGTGGTGGCACGGTGGCTAAGAGCGGAGGAGGAGGAGGAGACGATAATGTCGGCTCCGGTGCAGAGGATCTGGATGTATCGTTCCATCGCAAGACCGTGGGGAGTGGCGATGGCAGTGGAGTGATCGTTGCTGCTGATGCTGCTGCTGGTGGTTGTGTTAATGAGAGGGCTAGTGGGCCCAGGGTAATCGTTTCTCAATTGTTTACATTTCTTGAGCTCAGCACTTGCACGGCCATTGTTATGCGTAAAAAAAAACGATGTGTGTCGATTCCTATATGCTCAAGGTCATGAGGATTTACATGACCCCCCCCGCCTCCCCCCCCCCCCCGATCTCCAGCCACTCGGGGCCACTACATTCATAACAATATCTTATAGCTGATGACAACTATGATGATCTAAGCATTCGACATGTTGCGACACAAGCTCGCTGGCCGGTGAGGGTGGCTGACGGGCGCCGGCGTCTGTGTGCGTGTGGTCCCTGGCAGCTGATGACGATGGTTTCGGGCTTCGGGCCACTCATCACGGCCGGAATCTTCGCGGCCACGCTGTCATCCGCCCTCGCATCGCTCGTCAGCGCCCCCAAGGTCTTCCAGGTGAGACGGGCGCTCACGTGCAGCTTACGTGCAGCGCCTCTCTCGAGTCCGCGCCACGGGCGCTCTCCCCGACTCGTTCCCGCACACCGGGAACCGTGGCCGCTCGGCAAAGGGGAAGTGGGCCTACGCGAGCATGCACCCTGTGGTGTGAGAAGGTTTGGGTGGCCGACGGATGATACTGGTGACAGAATGGCAGCCAAAAGTATGAGAACGCACCGGAGAGATTGATCGCTTGGGAGATGGAGCGATAAGATTCCATCCACGTGCATAAGTGATGGCTTCGGTGTGAGCTTAGCAAAGCCTCATGGTGGCCCTCTGCACGCTGCTGCTTGTGTGGAGGGTGTGGAGGGATGTGGAGGGTGTCGAGGGTGACTGGCCTCCGTGGTAACCAGGCTCGACGTACGCGTTCTGGAAGCAGTTATTTTAATTGATCTTTCTCCACTGCCCCCTCCCGCAGGCGCTGTGCAAGGACAACATCTACCCCAAGATGCAGATGTTCGCCGTGGGCTACGGCAAGAACAACGAGCCGATCCGCGGCTACATTCCTCACCTTCATCATCGCCATCGCCTTCATTCTCATCGGTGAGGCGTAGTGGCGGCCTCTGCGGCGGCCGCGGTGGGGGGCAGGGTCGCCTCGCCAGCCCCGTCTCCCACGCAGGCCACCGCGCGGACTTGAGCCGACAGCGGCTTGCGTTGTTCCGTCTTGTCCGTCATTCTGCGGGGCCTGTGCCAAGGACCGAGCCTCCGCTTGCTCATTTGCTGATCCTGATCCACGTGTTCTGGCCTTTGTCTCCCCGCGTGCAGCTGAGCTCAACGTGATCGCCCCGATCATCTCCAACTTCTTCCTGGCCTCGTACGCGCTCATCAACTTCTCCTGCTTCCACGCCTCTCTCGCCAAGTCCCCAGGTGCGACGTTCGATCGTTCACCACTCGTAAAGGGGCATCCCTGCAGTGGCGGAGGAGGTGGCTCGGGTGTGCGTGTGTGTTAATGCTACAAAGACAACGATGTGTCTAACGGGAGAGGTAATGCAATTGGTTAGCGCGCTGCACACCAAACCCGGTGACCCGAGTTCGATTCACGCTCGTGACCAATAATGGTGGCGAATATTTGAACCGGTCGTAAGCCTCCCCTAAGTCAACTCAGCCTTACAGATGAGTACCTGGTGCAGTGCGTAAAACATCAGCACTGGGGAAATAAAGATGGCAGAGCGTGGTGTTGGCCACCCACCCCCTCGTGTCCCGTGCCCGGCCTTCATAGGTTCTCTCAAATAACACTTGTCCCAACAGCCTGTGTAGGCTGCTTGGGGGATCTTTTTCCCTTCGGCCAGGGTCGATGTCGCTGTGCTGTTGGCGCCCTTGGCTGGAGGGACTACGGCATGTTCTTGAAATACTGGGCCAATTTATGGTTGGGGCCCAGCTGGATCCTGTTTACTTAACAGAACCCAGATCGTTTTCCCGAATCCTGTTTGCAGCCTGTCGTGTTATTTTCGAGTGCTCGGCAGTTAACGTTACCGCACGTTGTACTCTGAAGGTATGAAGCAACGTATCGAGATGAAATGCAAGACGTAACTTGGCTCGTCATTAACACGACAACCGGTGTAACCGTCGACAAGTAAAGACAAGCCGCAGCAGTGCGATTGTAGCCATCCAACCCACACCGATGGACCATATAGTAAACCACCGTAGTCCCTGCTGCTTCAACAGAGGAGGAGGAATAGCAAAACCACACGAATTTTGTCCTGAAGCCCCCTCATTGTGGCTAGCAACCCTCGACATTGGCCTTCAGCTCCTGAACGTATTGCAACCGTAGGACGCAAAAATAGAGTAGAATTCACAAGCCAAATACGGTGGCTCATATTTTGGGCTTGTGGGGAGTACAAGTTGAAATTTTCCATTCAAATGTTCATGGGTAAATCCGCCCACGTGATTTCGAAGACACGCCGCCGTAACCAACCTTCGGCGACTTTGGTGCCATTTGATGCACCAGCGGGCGGGCGGGCGGGCAAGCGTGTGGGGGGGCGGGCAGATGCCTCGGTCGCTCCGATCGCCCGCATCAGTCGCGCCGAGACGGTTTCCACGCTCGACGCGATCGTCGGCCGAGCCCGGTGCTCTTGCGCCTTTGCAACGCAGCGCGCAAGCGGTGGGGGCGAGCCCTTCACGGCGGAATTGACGCACCCGTTTGCTTAAAACCACGGCTCGTAGGGGGCGGAAAAAATAAAACATCGCGACGGCGGGGAGAAAATGGAAAGGCGTGGTGACGTTAATATTTTATCGTGGCTTTCTGCTTCGATGAAGCCTGTAACTTTTTGATTTGAAGGTGTGTAATTAATTATTTCTTTTTTTGTCGAATTTCTTTTTTGTTGTAGTCTTACGTAAGATTTTTTAACAAGAAATTTCTAAAAAGTTTTTTTAAATTGTCGTCAGCGGTTTTTTATCCTCGATTGAGATGTCAAATTCGAGTGATGTGTGCGGTCGGCAGTTCATCACAAAGTCGTCTTAAAAAATTACGATCTTGCTTCAGCCAAACTCTGCTTGCAAAACTAAATAAGCAATGAGGCCTGTTCATACTACATGAACGTACGTGAACAGATCCTTTATTTTCAACCAGGGGAGCGGAAACCCATTAAGACAAAACGTTCTTTCAATGGGCATATGCCCAGTAAACATCGGAGCGTTGGGCCAATGGGTGAGGTTACAGAGACAAGTAAAGTGGAGAGTTAATTGCATATCAATGGAATTGAAATGTAAATTTTCTCCTGAAGCAGAACACACACACACACATACGACTAACACAACATTAGCCTCCAACCAAATCACCTGAAACATGCCCGATGTCATCATAATCGTAATCTTTATTTCGACTAGAGGAATCTGATGAGCTATGAAGCACTTTTTCACAGATGATTAGTAGGGTCGGGTAAGAACGTTGCAACGAACAATACAAAAACACGATATCAGTGTAAAGTACAAGAAAGTTTCAACGAATCACCCAAACACATACAAATGAAACTAAAGCATCCCCATCCTACCAGGCAAAGCCCACCTTGAGGTATGAACTTTTTTTTCTTTCAGAAGCGACCTGGCCACCACAAAGGATAGCGCCGTGGTGGTGAGATGTTAACTACCTTGCCTGGTATACAACAGGTCGTGGGTTAAATATCGACCCTAACACCTGTATATTTGGAGTTCGCATGGATTTTTCTACTTGCGTTAATTGGCTGCTCGAAATTTCCACGAGATAAGCCACTTTGTTGAGCTCTCATTTGTGGCCAGGTCACTCAGTAGTCCTTACCTGGTAAAATAAAATAAAAACATTTATTGTATAGTTTTTAACATCCAGCATCATCAGCTGTCGTGTGAACGAGCTTCCCCATCCAACCCGGGTCCTTTAGCAGGTGCCGTGACATCATCAGGACGGCCACGAGGTGATCTGGTGCGGTAGTTGGACTAATCTAATCTAACCTGCCAATCAATCGGCCAGTCAGTGGTCGGTCGGGTGCAGAAAATATTCACTGAAGATATTTTACGCAAACCGACCATCGATCCTAAACGTTGCCTGCAAAGTTGCACGATTTGGCTTTTGCTCAGCAAAGTTTCGTTTGAAGCATTTTACGTTGGCGGAGCTTTATCCTCGGCTAATTTTAGCTCGCCGCGTTCGACGGGAGAGGGCACATTTTTAAACTTTTCCATCGCGTCTGATAAAGGGTGCCCATTGTCTTGGATGTACGTTGTTGTAATCGGTCAAGGGGGTGTTGACGAGAGGGGGGGGGGGGGGGGGGGAGTCCCTTGCCAGCTCTTGTCGCGCTCGGCGGACCGATTCGCGTTCGTGTGCCGGGACCATCGGTGCCGCTCTGCGCTTCTCACGACCGCAACGCGACACTCGCGCCGAGCAAGGTCACCGGCGCGTCCCGTAAACACGTCGGCGAGAGAGTTTTTGTCGTTTGATTGTTTAGCGTGTTTTTCGTAAAACGCTGCAGTCTCGACGCTCGTGCTAATTGCGCAACAATAAAACTTGGCAGTGTGCCCAAACGAAGCGTTTCGTACGAATCGGCGTGCATCGCCTCCGAAGGTTCGCGAAACGCGACAATACACGACGACCAATGATTCGGGGCAATGGCTCGTTCTTCATGGCACGTTCTGTTTGCTATGATGAAGGTCCATTGCCCGTAATGGTCCTGCGTGGCACCCGTGCCAATGCCCTTGTGCCTGCCCGCCCGCGTGCGCTTGCAGGCTGGCGCCCGGCCTTCAAGTACTACAACATGTGGGTGTCGCTGTTCGGCGCGGCGCTGTGCTGCGGCGTGATGTTCGTCATCAACTGGTGGGCCGCCCTTGTCACCTACGTCATCATTTTCAGCCTCTACATCTACGTCACCTACCAGAAACCCGGTGGGAAAGGCGAACCCCCGCGCCCCCCTCCTCCACCCCCTCCACAGAAATGCTCGCACAGATGGATTCGAGAATACCCCCCCCCCCTCGGTTGTGTTTGCCACCTCCCCGGACCACCGCGTCCGTTTTGTCGGAAATCGCGAGGCTGCTCCAGTTAGGGTTCCACCCGTGGGTGCTCCAGCAGTGGCCTACCGACGTTTGCGTGATAGCTTTTGTTTTGACCAAGGTTATTCAGAGATGAATATGTAAATGACCATCTTGTTGTTGTAGTTGTCGCGCGCCTGCTTTTTTATTTTGCCTGGTAAGGTCAACGGAGCTATTTAGATCTTTTTCAGAAGTGGCCTGAGCACAAATGAGAGCTCAACAAAAAGCGGCTTATCAGATGGAAATTTAAAGCAGCCAAAATACTCTAAACAATTGTTTCTAAATGTGGAGGGAAAAACTGGAGGGCCCGGATACAATTCCACTTGACCACGGGAAAAACGTGCAAACTACAAATCCACAACAGACTTCAGGGTCTGGATCAAACCCATGGTCCGCTGCGTACCAGGCGAGGGAGTTAACATCTCGCCACCACTGCGCCCGTATCACTTTCCACCGCAGGGCAAATGCCTCCGCCATCCCCCCCCATTTTTTTCCCTTCCATTTCTTTGTTGTTCTTGTCCAGTAATGGCCTCAAAGGTAATTTGTCACAATGACCCTTCACAAGTCCCTAAACGACACATAACTTTTAAAACTAAAACAAGAATTGATATTGCGTATCATATCTTTGCGAGAGTCATCGTGTGGCTCTCGCAGAGACGTTACGGGTGGACGGAGGTAATGCGTTAGCGCTCGCAAGCGTTGATACATAAGAATCGATTCCTGAATTGAATCGCGACAATTGATTGCTTCGTAACATGGGGGGCGTGGGGGGGGGCGTGAGGGCGGGGGGGGGAGGTTGGATCGATGCTCGCCTATCGCCTTTCTCGTTTGCCGTTTATCTCGGCAGCAACTTAACGGCACAGGAGCAGTTTCTCACCACAGACAGGACTAGCGTGTGAAATCCGACCCCTGACCCCGACCCTTGACATTTACAATAGCAGCAGCTGATTGTGCCCTGTTTAAATAAACACGAGCCGTTTCCCGTCAATGTCCACCGTGAGGACACCGCCCGCCCACCCACCCCCGTACCAGGTGAGTGAACACCGCCGCTGCCTGTGCCCCCGACGTCCCGCCGGGTGATGGGGCGGTGCTGAGTATAGCGGCGAGCGTGGGTGCAGGCCGCGTGATGTGTGGGCGCGTGGCGCCACCGCGGTTGATACAAGAGGGGCTGCTGCTGCTCCCTGACGACTCGATTCCGGGTTGTACTGCGCGTCGCCCGGCACCATGCCCGACGTTTCACTCCCAAGGGCTTTTTTGGTTCCGAGAACAAACGCAACGAATAATAATCAAAATCAAGAATGAACCCAGACGATTTGTGTTGATGTACGATGGTCTCGGGCAGAGGGGAACAGGGGGGTGAATGATGGGGCCTTGAACAGGGGGAGAGATCGGCAGTGTGGGCGGCCAGAGGGAAGATGTTCCAGACAGTGGGGGCAGCAGCAGAGAAGAGTGACCTCTCATTTAGTGGAGGCGGATTGAAGGTCATCATGGGAGGCCTTGGTTGCTGGAGCAGAGAGAGTTTGGAGATGAGAGGAAAGAGATGAGGGAGAGCGTGGACGGGTAAAGAGTGAAATGAGAGATGAGAAGGCAGGCCAGGGGCGAGTCGTGGCTTTGTGCTGGGCCTCTGGGGCACGAGGGGTGGTGCTAGCTCCACTATTCACTCACTATTCATCATCATCAAACATGATGATGAATTGCAGTCCACAGCTGAATGAAGGCCTCCCCAAGTCATTCCCGCCTCTCGCGATCCCGCAATGTAATACTCCACCCAGTGATTGCGCATGAGCTCACTTTCATCGATCCATCTCCTTTATGGACGTATTTCTCGGACTCGCTCTGTTCCTCAGCTGCTCCTCCCGTCACCGCCCTTAGCCGTCAGCCGTCATCCCCCCCCCTCGCTATCACAGGCTCATGGCGTTTGTCATGAGAGAATGCCGGTCGACGGGGCTGATGGCTGCAAGATTTACGAGCGGTGCTGGCGCAGAAAGGGGCTCTGTTACAGCGGCGGCACCGTGATCCCCGGGGTCGCGTTGTTACTCTGTCGCGCTGTACGCGGACGTAATTGCACGATGGCTGGTTGCCTACGGACGATGGGTTCGGAAAATAACAATTGCTGCACAAATTAAAGCAAGCGGCATTCGTGCGTGTGGGCAGTGCTCGCTCTGGCACCATCGCCATCCATTCATTAAGTCTCTAATTGGTTTATTCATGCACTGGGATTTAGTATTATTAATTAATCTCTCTGACCTCCGATTTAACCTCGCTTTGCGCTAAATTGACAGCCACGTAGCGAGATCCAACCACCACCCCCCCTCCCTCCCCCCCGCAGGAAGCCATAACAATCGAGATGAGATTTTTTGTGAACGTTTCTTAGCAGTAAAAATCTCTCACTTTCCACCAAAAATTAGCAGAAACTTGTTCACCGACGCGCACAGAACCAGAACCCGTGATCTGTGCGGGGGTAGGGGTGCGGGGGCAGGCATGCGGGGGCATGCGTGTGGGGGCAGGCGTGCGGGGGCTGGCGAGGCTGTGTGCCCCATTAGGAGCCCACCACTGGCCTTAGGAGACGCCGCCGAGCCGAGCAACGTTCCACCGCTGCGCATACACACGGCCATCGCGTAGGGGAGCGTTTCCATGAAAATCGCTGTCAGTGGCGTGCACTTGTCGACAGCTCATGTACTAGCGTATATGCTTGCATGTACGTATGCAGCCCTTGGTCAGTCCGCTGCTCGATGCAAACCTCCCCACGTAGTGTGTGGGTCGCGGGGGTGGTTTAACCGTACTTCACCGTGCTGGTCAGTGAAGGTGGGGTGGTGCCGCAGATTAATGAAAATATTCTGAATCTATGGTCTGGCACAGTTGTAGTGCAGTTGATGGTCTCAGCCCAAGAACCCCAATAGCTGGACACAACAATAACAACCTCAACCTTCAAGTTGCTTCTTCAGGCTTACAGACATAAAAAACATACTCAACACATCCACCCAGTGACATTGTAGGCTTAAAAAAAACAAGTATGTTATATTTCGATTTAAAGCTTTCGTGACTGCAGGGATTCATATTCTTGGTTATTTCGGTAAAGTCACATAGAAGGGAAATAATAAAATAATAAAACAATACAATTCTCACGAATCGAAATATCGAGAGAATTTAATTGATTAATGTTTATTATTTTATTATTTACCTTCTACATGACTTTACCGAAAGAACCAAGAATAAGTATGTTATAGGTGACGTTTGTGTTCATGCGTAATCGTCATCATTGCCGGATTCCCGGTGAACATGCCAACGTTGTTGGCATGTGGTTGGAACCGTTGGACCGACGTTTGCCCCCAACGTTTCACGTTTACGGGAATGTTCTGTCCACTGGTTGGATGAAGGCCCTCCCCATACCACCATCCGCCATGATCCTCCGTATAAAATATACGGATGCTAAAAACGCGTTTGGAATAAGCTTAAAGGAAAAGGGGAGGGGGGGCGGCAAAAGAAGGTTAAACAAATAAAAGCAAAAACAATGCGACCAACAGACACAATGAGAACGCGGCGTCCCTTGCCAGGAAGTGGAGCGTCATTCGTAGCGAGGGTGTCCCTGGGGGCCAGCACCGCGTCATTGCGGGGGAAGGTTGTGAGCAGCCGCCTCTGAGCCGGCACAGCGGCTGGAAGATAACCGGGTTTCAAATTCGCCGCTCTGACCGGTCCTGAGTAAACATGGAACGTTGGGCGAACATTGGGCCAACGGTTCGAACCACGTGCCAACGTTGCATGTTTACTGGAAATTCACCTCCTTTCTCCTACCTCATAGCCGACTCAAATTCGCATTAGCCACACGGCCTTCTGGGAGTATGTAATTTTCAGCAAAACTCCCAACCGGTTTTGACATTCATTGTCTAATCAGCAGACTCAGACTTTGTTGAACCAATGCTGGTGAATTTATTGGCAGATGTTTTATTTTATTGGCAGTGGGTCATGGGAGGATTCTTTTTTTGAAGCCGCTTGGTAATGTGCCGTGAACTTTTGTCTGTTTATTGGTGGAGTGATGATGCATCGATTGATTGATTTATTTAAAGTCAATTCGCAAAGCTGCTGTGCACACGTGTCGAACCATATGTAGGGATCGGAGCGTTTAGAGCCGTGGGTCGATGTCGCACCTAATGGGCTTGTGTTACTGCTGCAGCCACTAGAGGTGCTATCATTCGCCGCATTCTAAAATCATTACCCTCTGTAATTGTGTTTTTTTTATATAGTGCCTCACTCGTGCGCGGTGAAGTTTCAAAGTCCTAACTTTTCTGCTATCGTGAGTTGGAGACGTAAAATTTGCCCGTACGAAAAGTCAGTCGGGTTGGACGGGACGCGTCACTCGAAGGGATCATGGCCGGCGGTTTGAGACTGACAATGGATTGGCAGCTAAAGGAGAGAACGCACGACCGAGAATATGTCCACCGTGGAAACGAAGCGATGGAATCAGAGGAGCCCATCGGTTTGGTGCATCACGTGAATGAGAGGAATGGCGCTTTGGGAGGAGGTCTTTAAGCCGCCGTGGATAGAGCATGGCTGTTTTTTTTGATAAACAGCACCTTGAGGCCAAGTTTGGGTGAGTCACGAGGCTCGTGGAGAGACGCTCACTGGAATTTTGCGTGTGTGTATTTGTGCCGTGTGTTCGTGCCGCAGATGTGAACTGGGGCTCGTCCACCCAGGCGCTGACTTATCTCAACGCGCTGCAGAACTCGATCCGTCTTTACGGCGTGGAGGACCACGTCAAAAACTTCCGGTACGAAATTCACGGGGGGTGGTGAGGGGGGTGGTGGGGGGGGGTGGTGTCCCCTTTATCGCAATAAACATCACCATACGCCCTCAGTGTGCAGGTCCCGCTCACATTTCGCTGCATCGGCACACCGCTCGTCCGAGCGCAGCGACACGCTCGCGCTCGCCCACGGGATGCCGTGGGGACATTTCAAAAACATTTCAGAAATGTGCGAACGCCGCTCGGACGCGCGGCTTCCCCCCCCCCCCAGGTGAATGCCAGAAACGTTGCCGGCAAGTGATGAGGGCGGACGGCGGCAATAAGATTGCTGATCGCAGCCGCACTGTGGCCTCTTCTTCATTGGCCATTGGTATTGGAGATCGCCTAATCTATGGCCCGAGGATTATGTTCATTCAACGCACAGCCATGTATGAGGCCTGTCACTTCTAAGCGGCCTAAAAATTATATTCATTCATCGCTGCGAGCATCGTAGCCTCGCTAATCGGGTACTAGAGGGGGGCGGGGGGAACGCCGACGTGAGAACAACGCTGATAATGATATCGGTGCACTCGCTCACTTTTGTTACTGGCAAGGGCCTCTTGCTGTGACAGGAGTTGCCGAGTCGTGTGCGTCAACGTGTGCAAACGAAGCTCGTGAAGGACGCTGCTGAGCAGAGGAGCGACACTCTCAACAACGGGCGGAGCGCCGGGCGGCTAAAACACAGAGTTGGCACAGTGGGGAGTGCACAGTTGGTGCATCTGTCGGTCATCTCAGTCAACCCATGGCACCTCGGCCTGACTTCCGGCCAGTGGGCCTTTGACACTTTACATGGCCTCAAAGTGCACCTAGCATGGCACAAGCGCCGTCGTGACATCACCACCACTTAGTGGTCAACGGTGGTTGTTGCTGTTGTCCGCCAATGATATAGTCACGTAGATAGGTTCTTCCCCTGCCGCTTTAACCCAACTCGGCCATTGTTGCATTCCTCTCTGGGTCGAGGTGAAGCTTCTGCGAGCTGCGCGTCTTGACAAAGAGCTCGACGGCCGCGCTCTCGTCACCCCCCCCACCCCACCCCACCCCGCATCGTCCGCGGACAACCGGCCGCCGTGACAATGGCAGGGAAAGGCCGGGCCCTCACAATGAACACGGGTCTTCCTCTGTGCCAGCTCGCGGCGCTTTGTCTCGCGTTGCACAAAGCCCACCGTGCCCCCGCGTACGGCCGAGGCGTTCGGCGCCGTATTTTTAGTCGAGGCGACGTTCAACGCTATTGGTCGCGGAGAATGAATTTCCCCGCGGTCCTCCGGGAGCGAGCGGACCCTCTGGTGTTGTGTGCGTCGTGAGGAGCGGCGGCCGGGATGACATCACGCAGCGGTGCTGCGCTGTGGCACGTCCGCTCGTGCCGCCGGCGAGGCTGCGCGGTGCCACGGAGGCGGCGAGGCCGAGCGAGTCGGGCGTGGCAATAGGCGCTCGCTAACAATGAGTCGCCCCCAGAAGGGGCGGTTTGAGCAACAATGGTCGTACCGGCGTGTGTGCGCGCATTGATGTTGTCCGTCCGTGCGTGTGTGCCGATGTCATTGTTCGTGCGTGCATTCCTGTGTGTATGGTGTGGGGGGGAGTGGTTGCATTGGTTGGCCAGGCAAGCCGAGTTTGATTCTCGCTCACGGTCAATACCAGTGGAAAATATTTGAACCGGTGCTGGGTCCTCCTCTAGGTCCACTCAACCTTAAGTGAGTACGCGCTGCAGTATGAAAATATCAGCACTGGGAGATGAAGGTGGCCACACCAACGTGTGGCTCGTGCACCGTGCCGGGCTTGATCGGTGCTCGCCAACAGAGTCGACAAGACTTACACGCGGGCTCATTGTAAATGTTTGTGTGTGTGCTTTTGTGTTTAGGCTGTACGGGGGATCTTTGTCTTTTATCGATTCCCGCTCACGGTCAACACCAGTGACGATTATCTGAACCGGTCCTGGGCCTCTCCTATGTCGACTCAGCCTTAAATGAGTACCTGGTGCGATGTGTAAACATCGCCACTAGGCAGACAAAGGCGGCCGTGCGTGGTGTTGGCTACCCACCCCCTCGTGTGCCGTGCCGGCCTTCACAGGTGCTCGCTAACAGCACTTGTCCCTACAATCTGTTAAGGCTATACGGGGGATCTTTGTCTTTTATCTTTGTGTGTGCGTGCGTAGGCCACAGTGCCTGGTGCTGACGGGCCCCCCGGAGTCTCGCCCGGCGCTCGTGGACTTCGTTCACGCCTTCACCAAGAACGTGGGCCTCATGGTGTGCAGCCACGTATGCGTGGTGAGTTCCCCCTGGCGGTGCGCGAGAGAGCGACTTGCAGACCGCCGAAACGAGCAGAGCGAGAAGCTTCCGTTGACGTGCGGCCGCACGGTTGAAACGCGATACACACGGGTGTCGAGCTACCATGGGTTGTTATCTTCAAATATAAATCTTTATATACACACACACGTGTATGGGTTATCGAGTTTGTCTCCAAGACGCCACCCTTCGTTTGGCCAAAATGTGAACCGCCCTGCTTGTCGACGGATCGCAAACGACAGAGGGGCGAGTGGCGACCGTTGCGCGTCCGTCCCCCGTGCGTGCACAGGGCCCGCGGAGGCAGGCGCTCAAGGAGCTGACGGCCAACGCCTCCAAGCAGCACCAGTACCTGCTGCGCCAGCGCCGCAAGGCGTTCTACTCGGCCGTGTGCGCCGACGACCTGCGAGGTGGCACGCTCCACTTCCTGCAGGTACGGCCGGCTCCCCTGCCGCCACCCTCACCGCCACTACAGCTGCTACTGCCACCGCCACTACAGCTGCTACTGCTACTGCCACTACCACTACAACTGCTACTGCCACCACCACTACAACTGCTACTGCCACCGCCACTACCGCTGCTACTGCTACTGCCACCGCCTCTACCACTACAGCTGCTACTGCCACTACCACTACCACTACAACTGCTACTGCCACCGCCTCTACCACTACAGCTGCTACTGCTACTGCCACTACCACTACAACTGCTACTGCCACCACCGCTACTGCTACCACTGCTACTGCGACCGTCACTACCGCTCCCACCGCTACTGCCACCACCGTGACCGCTATCACTGCTACTGACACTGCCACTGCTGCTTCCATCTCTACTGCCGCTACTTCTCACACAACTGCCACCACCGCCCCTACTGCAGCCACCACCGCCAGCACCATCGGCGCGATCGCTAGTGCTGGCACCTGCCGCCACTGCCATTCCCCCCCACCCCGGGCCGCTCTCCCATGCTGCGTCTGATTTGCTGCGCCCTCCCCAGTTGTATTTCATTTGTGCTGTTGGCATCGTGCCATCGTGAGACGCAGACACTGCCAACTCGCGCAGTGAGCAGTGCACCACCTGGATTCTGGAGAGAAGGTGTCCCAGATCGACTCCTGAGGTCACTTGACAGCCATTTCCTCGGCCGTCTGGAACGCTCTTCCTTTGATATTAGCAAGCCACTGGAGCTATGCACTTTTATTACTTGTTTTTGTGTTCACCTGTACCTCCGATTAGCACGGTTGGCTACATACGGTGCGAAAGAAGTTCAACATATATACATGAGAAGGCCTCCGTATCAACACAAGCGGCACCTCTACTACGCACTGCAAGAACAGTGTTTGTCGCACGGGAATACAACTGGAGTCTGTAAAGACTTGGAGCTGGAATAAGTTTAATTAAGTTTAAGAGTAAAATTTTACACGGTAGTCACCTCGACTAGGCGGTGAGAATCCGATTTAACCACGGTGGGTGGGGGGTGGTAGCTGAAACCCGGATTCCAACTCTGGGAATCTCAACGGTGCTGGCTCCTGTGCAGCTCCGGCCTCCGAACCACCTCGGTGAGTTTGCATCAGTCGTTACCGCGTGCGTGGCTCGAACAGAAACGCGGCCCCCTCGCAGCGGAACAAATTGGACTAGTCTGAACGACGGAGGGGTTCTGCGCCGAGCGCCCGAGCACAGGCCCGACGCTCCTCGCCGATCGCTCTACCGCCATTGCCAGAGCGACGGGCGAGACGAATTAATTCGGATCTTTTCTTGAGGGCGCCCGTTTTGCGAATGGCGTAGTGTCCTCATCGCGCCAGGGGAGAAACGTGTGCGCGGCGTAACTCGCGTGCGATAGCCACGTTCATTTGCACATGAATTGCGGCTGTCTGCTGTGGATCAGCCGTATGGCCGTTTCGCGAGTCCAGCTTTTCACGCAGGGATTCGCTTTGGCTCGGCTGCCCACGGATCTCGCGAGCGCATCGCTCCGTGTACGCGGCCAATCTCGTCGCAGCTCCGAAGCTTAGTAGGGTTCGATGCAAGCGTAGGCGTGGATTGGTTGTCTTGCCCAGGGTGTTGTTGGCTTCGAGGTCGCAAGCGGCCGAGAGACGGGCCTGCGACAATGGGTGTGGTTCGCAGACTAATCTGGGTGCTCCTGCCAGATTGAACCACCGACTGAATCTGTCAGCAGAGCTTTGAGCGTTTTCACCTCTGCCCGTATGCACTGTGGGTTATCTCATGATGCTCCACTTATCATGAGGCCAAGGTGGTCATGAATGAAATTGGCAAAATGTCACACTGCATGGCCCGGCTGAAATAAAGTCTTGGGAATTTCTAGGACAACTCAATGACATACATTTTTATAGATGTCTGTCTCCTCGACGGAGACTAGTGTCAAAAGCCTGCACTCACTTTCCCCTTCTGTTGGTAGATGGAAGGGGGAACAAAGTTTGCCATCGCATGCACAAACATTGAAAGAGAACATTGCGCCATATGGCAATGGCCGTAACAGAGCAATCATACCTGGCCTGGTATTCACAATCCAAATGTTTACTTGAGGCGACACAAATGCGATAACCTAAGTGCCGGGTGCGACTGTTGGTTCAGGAAGCCAATGCCGGGTCGGTGACACGGAGTCGGCACCCCTGAGATCCTAGGCTTCGCTCTGGGTTTCAGTCACCCGTAGTTATTATCATTATTATTAAACTGGGTTTCAGCCAAGGTTTGCTAGTCTAGCAAATTGATGGTCACAGACCGGTGCTCACCGATGACTACGTAAACACAACAACAGGTTAAATTGGTTTTAGTTAAAATTTGGCTAAATTCCAGCTCTGAGGATTAAGAAATGATCACGTTTTATATTGCCATGTGACAAGTGTCTCTGCAAGCATGCGCGAGCGGGAAATCACTGCCCTCGACTGTATGTGGACCAGAGGTGACTTGAAGAAAGTGATCTCGGAAGTAGCTCTGCGATATCTACTTCCATGAACCGTTCTCTGAATCACGCAAACGGTTGCACTGCTCTGTGAGATTTCCGAACGGGATTCTCCGTCTCGCGTCAGGACGTCGATCGCACAGTCGGGGATAGTTTGCGATGAAACGTCACATTGAAAAATGAAAAAAAAGCTGGAAGCAGGAGTGAAGCGTGTGTGTGGTGTGTTTCCAGGCGGCAGGGCTGGGCCGCATGAAGCCCAACACGCTGGTGGTCGGCTTCAAGAAGAACTGGCGGCGAGCCGAATCCAAGGACGTGGACGAGTACATCAACATCATCCAGTGAGCGATGCGGCGGCCGAACCTCCCGCGCTGGAAGCCAGAGATCCGCGGGGCCATCCGGAGGAGAGACGCGCAGTCGTAGAGTGTGTCGGTCCGCGCCCACGTCGCTGGCATTCCGGACTCGGACGCTTCGTTTTCCGTGGGATAACTTGGAATGACTTGGGCTGGCCCGAGCTCGGGTTACGGCCCAGGTTGGCCAGATTTCGAGTCTGCCTACGTTTGAGTCAGCCTGAGTTCGAGGACGAATCGCGCTGGGCTCAAGAAAAGTGGTTTGATTTGGGGCACTAATTGAATTATCGCACGAGCTGACCAGGTTACAATTGTGACACGTTGGGGTGATGATTTTCCCCTCGGTCAAAATTCGGACGTGGGGAATTCGGCCCGAGTTCGCGAAGCAAATTTTAGCCGAGAGAATGTGGTGGGCCAATGCGAGATGACGGGGGGGGGGGGGATGTTTTTGTAGAAACGCTCTGCCGGGGGATGGAGGATGGCAGTTCGAGTTCAAACTCGGGTCCTGTGGCTCATTAAGAGGGCAACATAATTCATCACCCCCGCGACACCCCCACCTTCACCCCGTCACGTGCGCGCACACACACACACGGCAAACATATGCACACAAACCAAACCTGAACCACCCTCCCCCATCACTAATTTCTATGGATATTTGAGACCGAACGTAAAGATTCACAGGACGAGCCGCCCCCTAGCGGCGAGTCTCGCGCATTTCCGTTCACCGCCTCCCCCTGGCCTTGGCTGTGGCCGCGAAGGGCCGAGTTGGTTGCTGCCGAGGCAGCCAGGCGGGAGGTTCCGCTCGCCCGCACGCGCTACTGCCGCAGGAGCTGCGTTGGAAACGTGGTTTAAGCCAAGCTAACGTTTCTGATTCGGGTTGGTGAAATGGAGGTTTATTTTCAAGTGAGGAAGCAGATAATAATGTTTAATTTGGAGCTTTCGTGACTGCAGGGATTACTCTTTGGTTCTTTCGGTAAAGTCACCTGATGATGATTGCTTGTGTTGCAATCGAAACATCGTAGTATGCTATTATTTAATTTATTATTTTATCTTTATACGTGACTTTACCGAAAGAACCAAAGAATAATTATGTTCTAATTCATAATAATTGACTAAATAACAGACCCCATGCCATGTCGGGCCTTGCGGGGCGGGGAGGCGGGGTTGTGTGACCATGCCGGGACTACTCACTCGTGGTATAAACCGAAAACGCATCGAGAGAGGAATAAGACAACGATCGCACAAGAAATCGTACGCAGCGGTGCAGTTCTTAAACTGTCGTCGCATCCCCCCCTCCGCTGCCGCCCCCAGCGACGCGTTTGACTTCCAGTACGGCGTGCTGGTGTTCCGCCTGCACGAGGGCCTCGACGTGTCGCACATTGTGCAGATCCAGGGTGAGCAACGCTTCCTGTCACCACACCGGTTTCGTGTGTTCTTTTTTATATTTCCATCCACCTCCCGCCCCCGGAATTGAATCCCGATCGCGCAAACGACATCATGCGACGATGAGAAGCACCCGTTCGCACATCCTTCACAGAGCAGCAAGATGCTCTGCGGTGAGAAGAACAGCCCGTGGAAGCGGATACCGCAGAACTACCTCCTTAGTTGCAAGTGACCTCGTGACCACACAGTACAAATTTAGCCAAAAATTGTATGTATAACCAAATTTAATATGATGATGACGCTTGGGTGTTGTTTTTATATGCGGTCATTTTGTGACGGGACTGAGAACGTCAGCTCACCACACTTGAAAAATCTAATTAATCGGAGGCGTCTGCCTGGGATCGAACCCAGGACCTCAGTGGTGCCGATTCGACGCTGCGACCTCTGGGCCACCCGGCAGCAATCTCGGAGGAGGACATAGAGGCGGTATAGATTTTGTTCAGTTGCTGTCCCATGAAACACGGCCGCTCTGTTTAAACGTGGTGTGCTGCAGCGCTACAGATATAAAGTAGCGCGTGGCTCTGAATCGCAGAGTAACGCCAGTTGAAGACCGAGACTCTGGAGATGTTGTCATTGCCGCACAAGCGACGTGTGCGCTGCACATGGGCTCTGGGGTCACGCGGTCATCATTTTAAAACCAGATCAAGTGCGTAAAGGGTGCATCGAGATGTTCGTTGATGAATCTGCATGAGTCTACGTTGGTACAAGTGACACCATCGTCATTTTACACCTCCGTTGATTTTAAAGTCGCACCCGACCACGTTCAAAATATTCTTGGTTCTTAGGGTAAAGTCACGTAGAAGGGAAACAATAAAATAATAAAATATAAAACAATAAAATTCTCACGACGTTTCGATTGCAACACAAGCAATCTTGCTGTGGGTTTCACACCTGATGATGATTACTTGTGTTGCAATCGAAACGTCGTGAGAATTTTATTGTTTAATATTTTTATTATTTTATTGTTTCCCTTCTACGTGACTTTACCGAAAGAACCAAGAATATGAATCCCTGGAGTCACGAAAGCTTTAAATCACGTTCAAAATGTTTTATTTTCTATATGAACGTAACTAAATTTTATTGGAGGGTGGGGTGGTAGGGAAATTGGGCACCCCTGACACCAACATTTAATAATCTAATGGTGGACTTAATGTCGAACGGATGAAGACTAACAACGAAAATAAAATTCACAGCTAAATGAGCTCTGGCTGGGAAGCAGCCCAGTCACGTGTCTGATCACCGCCGTTGTTGTTTGCTTCGCGACTCTTAACAGTGATGGCAATGGCAACAACGGTGCATTTTCTTGGCGGTTGTGTGTGCCTGCGTGTGTGCCGACTCAGCCTCAAATGAGTACCTGGTGTGGTGTGTAACCATCGCCACTGGGGAGACAAAGGCGGTCGGGCGTGGCGCTGGCTACCCACCCCCTCGTGTACCGTTCCGGCCTTTATAGGTGCTCGCTAACAGCACTTGCCCCTACAGTCTATTAAGGCTATATGGGGGATCTTTGTCTTTTTTTTGCCTGCGTGCGTGTGACACAGAGGAGCTCCGCCTGCTGGAAAAGGAGCGCGAGGAGGAGAAGGACATGGAGACGGAGAAGGGAGGCCTCACGGACGTAGTGGTGGGGGGGGGTGACAAATCCGAGTCCAGCAGCCCCCAGGAGGCCACCGAACCGGGAACTCCACTGCGCATCGGTGAGTGAGGAACGCCGCGAGCGCACCGGGGAGACGCCGCGGTCAAGCCCGGAGCCTGGTCCGGTGCCTCCGGCGAGTCACAAAAACGTGACTTTACCGAAATAACCAAAGGGTATGGATCCTTGCAGTCACGAAAAACTCAAATCTAGAATGAGTCACAAACTCCCGTGCCCGCACCGGGATTCCCCTGGCCCACACCGGTGAGTAGGCGAGGGACGCAGCGAGCGCACACGCTACCGGGACGCGGGTGCCGTTAACAAAACCATCACGGACCCGCACAGAGTGGTGAGCTCTCCTCATGCAGCAGCAGGTTGACAAAAAGGGCCATATGTGCACGTGCTTGTGTCGAGGGGTCCTCGCCCGTGGAGTAGCTCGTGCGTAGCGCTCTCTGTGGAGCCAGTCGCATGGTGACACTTTCTCGGAGGAAGCACGATGCTGTTCTCCGCCCCGATCGAGAGTTACAAGCCGACTCCCTCCATTTACTTTTTTTTTATTTGACCAGGTAAGGGCCACTTAGCTGCTATATAGCTCTTTTTCAGAAGCGACCTGTCCACAAATAATAGTTCAATGAAGTGGCTTTTCACGTAGAAATCTATAGTTAGCAGCCAAATACTCTAAACCCACGTTGATTCTAAATGTGGAGGGAAAAACCGGAGGCCGCCAGAGCCCTCGTTCGGGCGCAAGCCGTCTTGACGTTTATCGAGTTTAATTTGACGAATTCTTCTATCAAACACGCTCACGGGAAAGCCGCTTAAGGCATTATTAACACTGGAAGGCACGTGACTTCATGAGGCCCAGCTTATCTCCTGCGTCGCGAAGGACTCGCGTTTGTTCCTCTGCAAGATGTCACGCTTTGAGGAATTGCTCCCCGACCTGAAGTGGTAGAGGGCCAGCGTCATGGGGGGGGGGGGGGGGGGTGGCGGGAGCCCTGTGGCGTAGCTGACGGCCAGATGGGGAAAGGGACGAGGGTGAAAAGGTGACCATCATTGGCTCGTACTGAGTTCCCAGCGCTTGGTTTGGCCGATGGGCAGAAGAAACTAACCTCTTAAAGCTCGGTGGTATCCAGCGCCAGTCTCACAAGGCCTCGCAGAGCTGTACATAAAATAAAAGGACCCTGAACAAACCCCAGACAAATAAAACTGAATAAACCCTTAACAGATATAACTGAATAAAACTGAAAGGAATCAAAACAATGTAAAAGGCACATTTCAGTTTCATTTATTAGGTATAGCCTTGTGAGCCATGCGGCTCTTGACTGGGGTGCAACCGCAACAAATAAAAACATGAACAAGAAACATCTTAAAGTGACTACACGCAAACAGAAAAATCCAGGAAAAAACAGCAGTCTTCCAGAAAAAACACCGTATATCAACGCTGTGTGCAAAAATCCCAGTGGGATGCAAGTCAAACAATAACAACCATAAGACAATTTACATTAAAGTTATCAGGCTAACTCTGTACTACAATAAACAAACATGGCTAAACCAAAACTTTTCAAAATCAACAAAAAAAAGCTATAAAAACTATGTAAAAGTGATCATAGGAACTGTGATTCAAATTTAACAATAAACGATATACATAACATTTACGACCAAACTTTGCAGCCATACCTGGCTGCATGAGTCACTCCATAACAGCAGGAGTATCAGCAGCAGTATCAACATTTTTCAATACACCTTTAAAGATCAGCACACTATAATCAAAACACATACGCAGACCGGCTGTGCAAGTGAAAACTGATACGTTTCAAGACGGCACCTAAAAGACTCTACCTACTCAGAGTCGCGAATGTTCTGGGGAAGAGCGTTGTTCCACGGACGAGGAGTCGGCTTCTGCTGTGGGCCCCGTTTCCCACTGATCGCAGGCTGAGTCCGAGACACACACTGGCGCGGTGGGAGAGTTTACGGACGATTTTGATAAGAAGTTGATGCGGGTACCGTTAATCCGAATTAATTGGCCTTTTCAAAGAACTTGAAAGGTCCGCGAAGCTGGCCTGCTGTGATCATTAAATTGGTGATTGGTTTCTCTTCACCGTTAAGGAGGTAAACAATGAATCGATTTTAAAATGAGTGGCTGGTGCACTTGGCTATGAACCCACAGCGACCCGTGTTCAATTCCTGGCCATGGCGAGTAATATCAACACTGATCCTGTCCTTCCCCCCCCCCAACACTTCCCCCCCCCCCCCCTTCACCGACCCATACAGACCAGCGTGGTGAAGTATGGTCCAAAAGTGAAGTATGGTGATGTAAGGAGGCCTTCCTCCAGCAGTGGGTTGAGAGTGGCTGGAATTTGTTATTTTATTCCATCCCCCGTAAGGAAAAGGCTGCCCACCCACAGTTGTCGGTGAAACGCGTGCGGCGTTGGCCGGAGAAAGTTGTTGATGTATTTGGTTGTGTGTGTGCGTGTGTGCGTGTGCGCGTGTGTGCGTGTGTACTCGCACACCGTTTAATGGTCGAACAGTCACTGGCAGCGGCACCCCTGGAGCGGAGGAGGAAGAAGGCAAAGGGCAGCAGACAAAGCCTCTGCTGCATAAAGGCAGGCCCGAGCACCATGTTGGCAAGACCTTGGACTCTCGGCCCCTGTGCTTGTGGCCTTGGATCTGTCACCCCCCTTCTGAACCTTTCAGATTTCCTCAATTCTCTCTCCCGATGCGCTGCATTCTCTCCTTTCAAAGGAAGACGCAAGTCATAAAATAAATAGTTTCTGTTGTGCGGTATTTCAGCTGCGTTTCACGCTGGGTGCCCTGGGAAAGCGCAAGAGTTTGATGCTTTTACGATGGGAAAAAAAGCATTTCAGTTTAGGGTCAGGAACACTCGAGTGACGTTGCTGCGGCATTGCCCTAGTGCTGTATCGGCAAGCACAAGGGCTTGAATAAAATGCTGCTCCTCAACACAAGTTCAGAAGAGCTGATAGGTCAATAGACTAAAATAAATAATTTTAAGTGGCGGTACAGTATATACGGTAATTTTTTTGTTATTACTTTCATTGTAAAAAAAAAATATTTGAAGGGCAGTTTTGTTCAGTTAAAGCTCCAAGTCACCTTGACTCGACTTGCTTGCCCCTAGGATTATGTCAGTCTGCACCTCTCTGTCCCTGGATTATTGTGCTCTCTAACTGCTGTATTCTCTTCTCCTCTCCAGCGCCGGAGCGTGTTGCTGATGTCTCGTTGCTCGCCGGCGTTTCTCGCCCCGTACCGGCGCTTTTCAAACCGCACTCCTCTCGCTGCCTCGTGGAAATCCATCCCCCCCCGCCCCCCCTGCCGTGCTCACCAATTGATTCTCATCGTCGAATCAATCTTGGATGTTTTAGAAAGACTCGTCCAAGCGGTCGTGTATTTTTTTAAAGCAGTTGGTGTTGGAAAGCACTGGCAATTCTTTTTTGTCCCCGAGCGTGAAGGTTTGCGTTTGAAGAGTATTTAGTTTTTCAATGGAACCTCTCCTTTGAATTCTCTTGTTGTCTCTACACTTGGTGTTTAAGGGCCTTGAAGTGGTGCTTTTGTCCTCTCCTGACCCACCTTTTCTTCAACCTGTGCACCACAAACATTCCATCGACGTTGACGGCGGCAATCGCTGTTATTCATTAATCTCGATTCGTAAGCTGGCAAAAGGCGCGGTGCACGTATCGCATGCCGTGCCGGCCTTTGATAGGGTGCTGAGCAAGCAACACTTGTTAATGGCTGCACGGGACGATCTCTGTCTTTGTTTCGCGCCACCGCGCACAGAGCGCCGCAGCAAGCTGCACACCCTCCCGCTGACCAACTTCGACCAGAAGCTGCTGGACGCCAGCGCGCAGTTCAACATTCGCCAGGGCAAGGGGACCATCGACGTGTGGTGGCTGTTTGACGACGGAGGTGAGGTGGTCTGTGCGCCGGTGATGGGGCGACGCGGTGGCGATATGTTATCTAACTCGTCTGGTATATTTGGAGTTTTGAGTGTTCTCCCCATGGTCATGTCGATTTGTCTCTGGGTCCTCCGGTTTTTTTCTGCCACATGTAGAAACGTATTGTTTGGGTCTTTCGATAAAGTCATGTAGACAGGTTCAAAGAAAAATAACAAAAAACTACGAAGTTTCGATCGCAACACAAGCGTTTGTCATCAGGATGATGATGAACGCTTGTGTTGCGATGGAAACGTCGTAGTTTTTTGTTATTTTTCTTTGAACCTGTCTACATGACTTTATCGAAAGACCCAAACAATTTAAATTCCTGCAGTCATGAAAGATTTAAGTCAAGATGTAGAAACGTGCGTTTAGAGTATTTGCTTGTTATACATTTCAACATGTTAAGCCACTTCGTTGAGCTATCATTTGTGGCCAGGTCGCTTCTCAAAAAGAGCTACATAGCTCAGTGGGTCTTACCTGGTAAAATAAAAGTTTAGTTTTTAGGGCAACCATCGCCAGTCATCGCCGTTGGCGACCGTCGCCACACCGTCAATACTTGTGATGGAATTACCCCTCGGTAAAAATCTCGCTACCCAAAATCTTTACAAATTTGATCGCAACTGGGATGGCGACGTCCAATCGGATCACAGGCTGTCCGACGTTTAGCTCCATTTGCCGGAAGCTTCTTGAGGAGCTGAATTTGCGTGCCTGGAGTGGAAACGTCAGACGCGGTGCCGGATAATGGACATTACAACCGCAAAACGCCATCCGAGGGCTGGAGCCCACATGCTCAAACCCCAGATCCGGGCGGTGCCGGCTCGGCACGTTGACACGGCTCTGTGCGGCGGCACGTTGACACTGCTCTGTGCGGCGGCACGTTGACACGGCTCTGTGCGGCGGCACGTTATCACGTGCAGGCCTCACCCTGCTCGTGCCCTACCTGCTCACGACCAAGAAGACGTGGCGCGACTGCAAGATCCGAGTGTTCATCGGCGGCAAAATCAACCGCATCGATCACGACAAGCGCGTGTGAGTCCCCTACTCGGCCACGCGGTTTGTTTGTTTAGTCTATCAACGCTCCTCGTGCGATCGTCACGCGACGCATCCCAGGGGCACTTTACAACACAAAACCCGTTGGTCAATCGAACCGGGTAATAATGAAATAGGTAAATAAAAGTGAAGTCAATGTTAAAAAAAAATTTGCTTTTCAAAGATTCGATCGTGCCAGCAGCATTCCCCCCTCTGACTTGGAAAAAAATTCAGAGGCAAGGAAGCAACATCAACGGGGGAGGCCCTTGACCACCTCCGGATTTTAGATGGCTGCAATAGTTCAGCACTCGCTAATGAAAAAAATTGACAACTATGAGCGGTGGGGGGGGGCTAAACAATTCATCAGTTCGTCAATAATCAGATAACGGGCATGGAAGGCAGTCGAGTTAAATGAGTGTGGAGGGGTAGGAAGGGGGCGAGTTCATGTGAATTTTTGCAGCCTGTGTACCCGATTAATTAAATTTATTGGGAGCCAGTGGTAGTATCGGAGTATTGGGGTGATGAGTTGGCAATTGGGCGATACCCCTGTGGGTGTGTTTTTTGCACTCGTTATCGTTAATGAATTTCTGAACCGATCTTGGGCCTCCCCAAGGTCGACTCGGCATTAAATGAGTACCGGGTGCAATGTGTAAAACATTCAGCACTGTGGAGCGACCGAGCGTGGTGCCGGCCTTCATAGGTGCTACTCGCTAAGCACTTGCCCCAACAGTTTGCTATGACTATAGGGGGGATGTTTGTCTTTGTTGCATGTGAACGTCCGTACGTTACGGTGCTGTTGACTGCCAGGATGGCGACGCTCCTGAGCAAGTTCCGCATCGACTTCTCGGACATCGAGGTGCTGGGAGATATGAACACAAAGCCGGACAAGGATAGGTGAGGCCTTGTGCAGCCAACGCATCCTGGGCCTCCCCTCTTCAGGCTCGGCCGTAAACGGAATTCACGGGGGGTGTGTGTCAACATCAGCGCTGGGGCGACAAAGGTGGTCAGGCTTGCTACTGGCCTCGCAATTCCTATCCCTTCCCGTGTAGTTTAGGCCTTCATAGATGCATGCTTAACACCGCTATGCACCTATGGTCTTTATACGGCGTTTTACAAGGGATCTGTTGTGTTTAACACCTCAGCTTTTTCAATCCCCCTTTCAGCCACCACTTTAATACAATTAGTGCTCATGACGTTGCACGTATCCCACGATAAGGATGGGGGGGGGTGCGGTGGGGGAGTGGATTTTAGAAGGCCGTGAGGGGCAGCGGCGTTGAGGGCATCAAGCGACCGCTTGACACGGGGGGGGGCGTTTGGCGCCGTGGTGTGTGCCGCGGCAGCGTGAAGGCGTTCGAGGAGATGATCGAGCCGTACCGCCTGCACGAGGAGGACCTGGATGCCGAGGAGGCAGAGAAGCTGCGGCAGGAGAACCCCTGCAAGATCTCCGACGACGAGCTGGAGAGGTTTCGCGACAAGGTACCGGCGAGGAGACCTGGTTTTGGAAGAGGCCCTCGCGGTGACGGAAGCGTGAACTGAGGCTGCCGAACACGAGAAATTCCGCGTGGTTACCGGGTTGAAAATATTCCCTGCGAGTGACCGATTAATTAGTGAGGCTAAAGTGCTGGCAGTGATTGGCTACATCTCGTTTGCAGGCTACTTTGAAGCGGTAGGTCTCGTGTGGCCACGAGTTCTTAAGAAATCCATTTTGAGGGAGTACACATAGGCCAGAGGTTTCTCCTACCCCATCATATACAGCTTGGATTTAATAACGTCGACATCGACATAACCATTGCAGATCACCCACTCCCTCCATACCCCTGGTTACGAAAGAAGAAGTCCACTCCGTGTTGTACCTGACAGCTTGCGTGTGTGTCTGTGCGTGCGCGTTTGTGCGTTTGTGTGTGCGTGTGTGCACATGGTTTGTCGTAGACGTACCGTCAGATCCGGATGAATGAGTTGCTGCAGGAGCACTCCCGCAAGGCGAACCTCATTGTCATGTAAGTGATGTTTTTTTTACTTTGATGGTGCTACTGTGTTACACAACAAAATGGCTCGTGAAGTTCCATCGCACTCGTGTTGTCGGTGTCATTCACTTCCGGAGCGCTCGTACATGGTAGTGACAGCACCCACCCGTTGCCATAAAACAACAATTTGTATTTGCACAGCATCTGCATGCAATCGCAGCTCGAGGTGCTTTGCAAAAGTGAAGAGGCAAACACATGAGAGGATAGAAGAGGGTTTGGCGGCGGGGGCGGCGGCGAGGCTGAAGGGTGGCGTATGAGATCCAGGGAAACATACAGTTGGGGAGCGGAAGCTAAATCCAGACGCAGCCCGGGATTACGCAATCTCAGCTCGGCACCAACAACAACAACGACGACGAAGACTACGACGAGACCTAAGGACGCCCGGTGTGGCCCGGGGAGGGGTGGCACCGACGATTCCCAAGGCATCTGTCCATCCACGGGGTGGGAGAGAGCTGGGGCCCATTCACCAACGAGTCCCAGGGCATTGTCTCTCCGTCTCGGGTGTACCTTTGACATCGTGGGTTGTCGCGCGCGTATGCGCGTGCGTGCGTGCATGAGTAGGGGAGCGATAGTGTCACGGTTAGAAAAAGCTACGCTACGAATCTGGCGACCCGAGTTCGATTCCCGCTCACGGCCAACACCAGTGACGATTATCTGAAACGGTCCTGGGCCTCCCCTAGGCCGACACAGCCTCAAATGAGTACCTGGTGCGATGTGTAAACATTGCCACTAGGGATACAAAGGCGGTCGGGCGTGGTGCTGGCCACGCACCCCCTCGTGTGCCGTGCTGGCCTTCATAGGTCCTTGCTAACAGCACTTGCCCCAACGGTCTTGTTAAGGCTTCACTGGGGACCTTTGTCTTTGCGCGTGTGCATGGCAGGAGCTTGCCGGTGGCGCGCAAGGGAGCGGTCTCAAGCACGCTCTACATGGCCTGGCTGGAGGTGCTGTCGAAGAACCTACCGCCCACACTGCTCGTCCGCGGAAATCACCAGAGTGTGCTAACATTCTACTCGTGAGCGCCAGCGGGCGGATGCTGGGTAGTGGGGGGGCGTGGGGGGGCGTGCGAAGATGATTGGGAAGCGCATGTCTGTACCCTTTTGAGAGAGGAGCAACGCAAGTGTGGGGGGGGTCTCCGTTGCGTTTTCACTGGAAAGCGGTTTGGCCTGCTCTTTTGATTGCGTCGGCCTCGCTTGTTGGGCGTTCGACGCGAGTTTTTAGACTGGGTTTTTGCCGGAGCGTAGAAAGAAGCGTGCAATGTGTGTTTCGTTTAAATTTTTTGTTTTGCTACCGGAAAGGAGTTGGGTAGATGGGGCGGCGTTAGGAGGCGCTCGCGGGCAGGTGTGGAGGGTAATGAAATAGTAGCATTATTTTAATTGAAACTTGTCTCGTTAGTTTTTTGAAGAAATGTTTAGGTTTATTAATGTGTAGAGACGGACCAGGTTGCCTGCTGTACGTGCTTTATTTTTTGTTTGTTTGTTATCATAACAGGCCTCGGTTTTTAAGGTGTGTTTTTAAGGATGGTCATTGAACAACGGAAAGGGAGGCCGAAGGTTGGCAATGCACGTAGACGTTTTTGTAGCAAAGTCTTCGACATTCACAGGGTGCAAACCTGCCGTGCACACCGGGTCCGATTGTCAACTTATTTTTCAATCGTTGCCCACTGTTGGTTTGACATGAGCACGTTTATGTAGTTCTGATTTCCGAATGCAGTTGCGTTGACGTTTGAGGGTTCGCTGTCAGTTGTTATTTGTCCGTATGCAGTTCTTTCAGCCGCAAGTTTTTAAGTGCCTTTTGGTGTCATACAGGATGGGAGGGGGGTGTAAATGATCATTTTATTTTCCATGAATGTGAGGGAGTTGCGAGCGGCCCATGTCAATTTCACACGTGACTGACGGGTGCCGTTGTTGGTGGCATGATCAGCCACGATGAATCCGCTGCTGGATGAAGATCTCCCACAAAGCCATCAGCCATCACGCACCACGGCCTTGCAATGTAACGGTCCATCTCACTCCTGCACACGAGATGATTTAATTGCTCCGCCATCGCGGTGGACATTCACTCGACGACGAGAGGACAAAGTGTCGCGGTTAACTTTGTGTGGTAGGTGGCATTGGTGTTGAGTGGATAAAGGTGTGTTTGGTGGGGGCCTTAACATATTGACTGCCATATGACCGACGATAGGTCACATGCTATCTAAGCTCTTTATACACCCCCATAAATAGTTTTTGGGTTGTACCGCGCATCATTTTGCATGATTCGGCCGACGTTTCAGCGCCGCGTGCTTCGCAGATTCCGCTTTAATTCAATTCCGGAGGAGCTCCTGGCACACACAATGAAATGTCGGACATTGCACCGAATCGATGCGTGGTAACAACCTGGAGACGCATCGGAGAGCCATACAGCACGAAAGTGAAAACCACACGTTTGCCTTTCAACACCTGTCCTCCTTATTTCTCTCGGTGACAACAACCATGCCTAGGGCAACAATGCAACAAGAACGGTCACTTCCGGGTCATATGGGTCCCCGGGAATAAGCGGCATATGACCCCAAGGTTTATTTTCAATCGAGGGTGGGGATTGTGCAGCAGTTGGCAAGTTTGATGGGAGGGTTCACTCGGGTGGTCCGTGTGTGCGAGTGACGATGACGGGGCTCGCAGGGTTGATTTTAACTGGCTTGGTTCTGCTGCTTTCGCTTTATTCTCTATACACAGCTCGCTGGGTTTCTGAATGATTGGAAGGGTGGCATAAATCCAAAAAACAAATGTGTTCTTCCAAAGTGATGTGTAATTATGTCCCTTTTAATTGTACGCTTGGGCAGAATTGCAAGCCTTTATAGTTAAATGCAATAAATTGTTTATGGAATTTTCTCGATTATTGTGCCTTATTACGCGGTATGTTTTGTCCTGAGTGGGTGACATGTTGACAAGGCGAATGGTTGTGGTGCATCCTTGGTGTGATGTCCTTACCTTTATGGAGGGCAAGATTTCGGTGTTGTAAGGTCGGTGTTAAGGAAATTGTTACACATGGCAGTCGGTAGGGGGGTGGGGTGATACTGCATACATTCGGTAACATAGCTATAGGGATTCTGGCTGGCTGGCTGAACTTGGCTGGACTGCTGAGCATGGTGAGTTGGCTGGAGAGGCCACACCCAAGGCTGCCTTAACATGAGTCTCAAGACTAAGGCTGCTGCTGCTTCTGCCTGGCTGAAGACCTGGATTCCTGGACAAGGACCTGTGGTAGCAATGGACAAGTAGGACAATTAGGCACAGACTAGGACATTGGTCGGAAGCTCTTGGGGTCAGATGGGGTCTTTTCCTAGGTTCCGAAGCACCAAAACACACGTTTTCCTCCAGGTTTTGGGTATGTGGTTCATCATTGCGCACGAATTGAACATTCTACTGAGCCACAATTACTTATTGTTGGTCCAAAGTTTGTTTTTGTATGTGTTCAGTGCGGACGTCATCGCTGCCTGCTGCCTTGCCAGTCTTCATACCCTTGAGGGCTATTGGTCACCGAAGTTATTGTTCATGAACTGGTCACCAAAGGCATTGCTTTCTTGTTCATTTCGTTGAGGTTTCCTGTTCTGCTTTTTGTGTTATTCATCTGGAAAAGTGCCATCTGGTTTGCGGTGATGTTCGTGGTGTTCTGCTCTTTAAGTTGCCGCTCAAGTCTTTTGATTTTGGACCATGCTTTCTTGCGATATGCTGGGTTATGTTTGTGTTCTCGATCAGCTCCTGCCATTACTTTTGTTGTTCTTCTGCCAGTCCATCAGTTGAGCTCTTCCCCAGCTGACATGGTGTCTTCAGAGATGGGGTTGGTTTCATACATTCTGATGTAGTGTTCATATTTGCTGGCCAGCTCGTGGGTGAGTATTGGTATGTATATTATGTATCCTCGGTGGATGTTAATTCTGATTGAGTGAGAGGGTTGGATAATTTGTGTCCTTTTGGTCCTTGCCATACAGGCCAGCCCCCTTAATGTAGACGTTCAACCAAAAAATATTACATGGGATGAAATTCTGGCAGATGATGATTGACAGGAATCAATAAATGCATCTCGTATCTTACAGAAAGAGAAGGGCTCACCAATGAGAAGTATCAATAGCTAAGCACAAAATATATATTTCAGACATGTCTCTCCACAATAAAAAAAAGCATTTTTCACATCCCATCGCCCCATGGCCCTATGGGATTACATAAAATTTCAGCATCATTGATGCTGTACAAGCGAATTTTGGACCAATGTTGACAGTGTCTTACCAGCAGAGAAATGTTGCCGAGTGGTCAATAAATCAGAACCGCGATGATCCTGGGTTCAAATCTGTGTTTTAATCAATGGTCTCAGCCCGTTTTACACAATCCCTGCACTGTCACGTGACAAACATTTACCTCCGTGTGCTCACAACATTGAGTTGTTATACGCAGCCTGCCTGTAAGCCGCAGCACCGGACGCCCACATGGCAACACCTATGGCCAGGGGGTGTGTATGGGGTCAATGGGGGTCAAGTGGATGTCAGGGGTCTACAAATCCCTCCATGGTGTTGCCCTACCCGATCTTGCTTCTCTCATCTCGCCCTCCTCTGTCCCGTTCCGTCCTCTACGCTCTCAGTCTCTGCAGTCCCTCTCTGTACCCCCTCGCTCTTTCATCACGTTTTCCTTCTTGCTCCCCTTCACTGGAATCAAACTCCCACTGAGCATCAAACGATCATCTTCACTCGACATCGTTCGCTCCTCTCTTAAAACAAACCCCCCAGCTCGTCTGCCTTTCAGCAGCAACAGTCTGGGAAACGCAGCCGCGGCCTCCCGTGGTCTGGCGCCGGGGCGGGTTCTCCACCGCTACTCGGTGTTTGTCGCAGACTGCTTCAGGTTTTTTCAGACATTCAGACCGCCAAACATCAGCTCAATGGATGAGAGATGTTTAGTCTCGATGTGATTAAAGCGAGAATTGGTCGGAGATAGACAACTTAGAAACGCATGGAATGCTACGAGAAGCGAGTGAATATTTGTGACCCAAACACGCAATGGTACGAGCGGTGCATGACCTCCGCGAGAAGGTCAACGCGAACATGACCTCTGCACGAGCAGCAGCGGCGGTGGGTGGAGGAGCTCCGTGTGGCCGAGTACGCGCCAGAGCTCTCATGGGTGGTGCCACGTGTTTGGCTGCCGCCCTTCGAGTGCGCGTGCTTCGTGGTGGGAGCCAGGTTTATTTGGACGTGGGCGAGTTACGCGAACACACACAGACTTTCATAATATAGTTTTTGGGTTAGAATGCGTAAATATATAAATGTTTCTTTAATAATAATTCACAATAAAGGTTTTTGGGTTAGTAGCTAGTTTTGCACAAAACTTCAACATTAGCAGGAGCAGAACACGCGTGCCAACAAGAACACTGAAATGATTTTGATAATGTTGAAGTTTTGTGCAAAACTCGCTACTACTGGCCAAGACTAATTAGAGAAACTATCGAAATTGAAAGAAATCCAAATAACTGTAACTCTACGGATAGCTACCGTCTTAGTGCTGCGTGGAAGCGAATCATCAAATAATACATTATTTAAATGCATGCCTACAAAGGGCAGCGTACTTCAATAGGGATTAGTAGGGCTATTTTAATAACACAATCGCCAGGAAAGACAAGTTCAAAGGGCTCGCATAATGCACATCCATAATGTGCGTTGCCTCCGTAACCCCCCCCCCCCCCCCCACATTGTGCAAGAGCGCAGAAGGGTGGTCAACACATCTACGCCTCTACATAAGGAACGAAACAGGTGGACTTGTTCACAAATCTGGCTGTCGCCTGATGAAGCTAGTTGTAATTACTGGCGAAACGTCGTACTCAGTTTGTAAATGTTGTGGCTTGGCTCTCCAACACACCGGTGTGCTGTACGAGTGACGAATTGGCACGTTCTGTTTACGTAACAAACCTTACTAGTTGGTTGTGGCGGGTTTTAACGACACATTTATATATTTGCGCACTCTAACTCAAAACATCTTATGGATGATATTGGTCGCGAAAACCTACGTAATTGATAATTATCGCATTTATCCCTGACATACAACTATGTTATATCCATACTAGCTCTCATAATGTCATATCGCTTCTAGCCCTCATAATTGATTCAGTACAAAGTGACCAATTGCTACGTGCCGTGCCATATTCAATTCTGAAATTCACGGAATCGATACCACGTGGTGGATAATCGATTGCCGGGTCAAGCAAATCTTGCGCGCGCGTGTCCCAATGTCCCAATGTCGCGGCCCGTGCTCATCCACTGCCGGGTAAAGGTCCGTGTGGGGTTGGCGAAGGGAGGCAGTCGGCACCGGCTCGGATATCGCTCGCCACTGATGTTAGCCGAGAGCTTCATTAACCGTGTTCACGCGCGGTGCGCCAAACACTAATCTCGTCGCAATGTAATTGTATATCTCTCATTTGCACAGACACACTTTTTTACCGAGGAAAACTCCAGCAGGTTTCTGGCAAAATCGCCCCCTCCTGATGCTGCTGCTGCCGTGTGTGTAGTCCAAATTGAGTCGAGTGATGTACTAAACTGTAAACTAAAATCAATGCATAGATTTCTGTTCATATGATTGTGGTTATGGTTGTACTTTATTAATCCCTAATCTCTGCCATTACATACAATGAAACAAGAAATGATAAAAAAAAGTGAAAACAGAGCAATGTAATACAATACACTATTAGACATTGTAAAAAAAAAAAAGTCCATCCCATGTGTTAGTGATTTGTTTTATATTTTAGGCAGGAAATTCGTTTTCAAATGTAGATATTTTTCTGGGTTGGGGGACCCCCAGACACCCTGGAAGATTTGGTCCCCCCAATGTTGACTCCATGGCTACGGCCTTGGTGTCAGATCACCATATCGTTACAACCATGCTAATCTGCTAAAGGAGCGTTCTCAAAAAATACCTTGCATCATCCTCATACATACAACAGGGGGAGAGCATACAAACTCTATGCGGAAAGGTGCCCGAGTCAGGAATGAAACCGAGGCACTTCTCGCTGTGAGTGTTGTTACCGTGGCGTTTTTCTGCCTCCACTATTTAATTGGGAGATCCTTCTGCTCATTGGTTGTATGGTACACGGATTATTTTCCTGTATCACAGTCTACGTGTGTTTTAAACATTTGTTTTGTCATTGTCCATTCTACCAATGGTAGATGGCACTAGGGCCGCATGGGTTAGCGTGGTGGAGATCGCTGTCACAGTGGTTAGGGCACTCCGCAACGATTATTTGAACCGGTCCTGTACCTCAATTTGGTCGACTCAGACTTAAATGAGTACCTGGTACGGTGTGTAATTATCATCATTGGGGTGACAAAGGTGGCCAGGCATAGTGCAGGCCACTAACCCCCTTGAGTGCCGTGTTGACATTAATAGGTGCTTGTTAGCAGCACCTGCCCCAATAGCCATTGCATCTTTGTCTTTGGTGGTGGAAGCAGCGTGGGAGAGCGTGTTGGTGGCAACGAGAGAGGTAACGCGCTCTTGGGTGATGGAGCGTGGTACAGCCACCAGCAGGTGGCACCAGACGTCTTCCTCATCTGCGAAAGACACTTCCAATCCGGCAACCGCGCAAACATGTGACTGGTGCGTCTACCACCACCACACACATCGTCATCAGCAGCAGTCAGGGTCAATTCACTGCTGGATTAAGGCCTCTCCAAGCTGTTGCCACCTCCTCACGATCCTGCGATGTAACGGGTGGCTCAGCGGTAGAGCGAGTGGCTCACAGCAATTATAAACTTGCGGGTTCAAATCCTGGCTGGGTGAGGGTTGACTCATACCATCTTCTCTCCCTACGACGGCGAAAAAATGAGTGCCACTTGGTGGGGATGATCAACAGCAGGT